TACTATGACGTTTTTTTTAATTATTTTATGCCATACTAACTATGACATTTTTTGCATTTTTATGCCTTACTATACTATGTCATTTAATTGCTTATCACAATATGATGTTTTTACGACCGTTTATGCATTAAAATACTATGATGTTTTTTTGACATTTTATGCCATGCTATAATGTTTTTTATTTTATTTTATGCTATACCATACTATAAGGTTTTTTGGCATTTATATGCCTTACTATAATATGTCGTTTTATTCCTTATCATTATATGACGTTTTTATTACCGTTTATGCCTTAAAATACTAAAATGTTCTTTTGACTTTTTATGCCATTCTATACTATGACCCTTTTTTATAATTTTTTGCTATACTATATTATAAGGGTTTTTGGCATTTTTTTTACCTTACAATACTATGTGAGTTGATTCCTTGCCATACTATTACAGTTTTATGACATTTTATGCCATAAAATACTATGATGTTTTTTTGACATTTTATGCCATACTATACTGTCATTTTTTTTGACGTTTTTGTCATACTAAACTAATACGCTTTTTGACGATTTTACAATATACTATGCCATGACGTTGAATGCCATACTAAACTTTAATCTTTTTTGACTTTTTTAATCCTTTATATACAATGACTTCGCATGTATTACTATATTATGACGTTTTTATGCCTTATTATACTATTAAAAACATATATGCTTTTACTTCATTATTTTACTAGTACATGTCTTTCATATGTGGAAATTCAACAAATTTACACTTATTACATTTGCATATGGTCATTATGAATGCATTATGAATGTCACGTCCCTTTTCTTGAGATAGTCTGTGGTGTATCAAGGTGGGCGGCCATTCAATAAATATATTGCTGCAGCACAGCAGTTCGAATCCCTTTGCAAGGCTTAATTTATTTTATTTTTGCCCAGCAAGTTTACTATTATTGTCTGCAGACTGATATTGACATGCAAATACTTTGGCCATTGCCTGATGATGTTTCTTTTTTTTCTGGGAGGTGTTCAATATTTTGCCACACTTCACAGACACACAGGTACACACAGCTCCAAAAAAGCAAATCATATCATGGTTCCAATGAATATTTTGAGCATAATGATCATAACCTGTAAAAGATGAGATGATGTGAGGGATGCTGCAGTGTAGTCAGGTGGTGTATTGTTTTACAAAAGAGGTGATGGTCTCTTTTCAAAATAATGACATTGCCATTTCCAAACAACTAACCAGTGCTTTATTGTCTGACTGTGCAAATTCAAAGGGAAAAGTGAAGTCTGACCTGCAACTCTGACGATAGAATATGTACAGACTGATTCCATAAAGAACATGAAATATGTCTGGTGGAGAGATGGTCCAATAAGAAACAAGCTTTTTTATGCTTATTTACATTTGCACATAATGCAGATAACAGTAGTTGTTCCTTGTTTTATATGTCCGGTTTTGCACCATTTCTCTGACGAGTTATTTTACTTGACGCTCCGTGTAAGGGAGCTTGAAAGCAAACTGCCTGTCTCAGTGATTTAGCAGATTTGGATTTGTGTTTGAAGCTGCTCCTCAAGAAGGATCAAGGTAGGGATTGGTTTGACATAAAAAGCACAGCTGAGTCAGGAGTTCTTTCACAAATACACACAGTGGGCTACACATCTTTAGTGCACACAGGCACACACACACACACATACTCACACAAATAACTACACACATGTTGTTGCTGAGTCAAACACTATCAAGATATTAGAGGGGGCATTTCTTGGAGTAATGGGCAAACTTGCCCTTTTTCATGTTGTTGTAGCTGCAGTATAAGAAAGTAGCCAACAAAAACTGGAATACTGCAGCTTAGAGACATTCAGTGACATCTCACTGTATATTTTCTCCCCATTATTTACTGTTTTACACCCAATTTGGATCTGCCATTACCCCCACAGTGCAGCAGTTCTATCAGAGACAAATCATTTAAGGCATTTTTTCATTTTTCAAAAATATTTTATTTGATATTGATCCAGGTACAAGGAAATAAAAGAACATGGATTTATCTTACAGGACATGGGAATGAGACTGTAAAAGTTTATTTTCTTGATCCACTCTCTTCTTGGACAAGGACATGCAAGTGAATAAAGTAAGTGGTTTACAGAAAAAAAAAGGCAGAATGTACTGTACTGTAGAAATGGCATCGGGTTGAGGTGTCACCTCAGCCCATACTGTACAGAAAGACTTCACCCAACAACTTTCTCTTTTTGTCATTTTTAATCTTCTTTTATAGCAAAAAGGCAACACACAGATAGGCTACAAAGAACCAACAATATTGAGAAAATGAACAAAAGAGAGGGAAAGCCAAAGTACTTTCATCCTTCCAAAAAGACGTTTTCTCTATTGTCTCAACAAGCAAATTGTGAGCATCTTTGCTCCTTGTGTTCAAAAAGGTTTGAAGTTTCTTTAGTTTTGACATGAGAGGAGCACTGCGGTGAACATGCAGGACGAAGAGTGACTCAGACGACTACTGACCCGGCACTTCACCATGCTCTGAGCACAGTGTGCCTATCATCTCCTTATGGCCTCGCTGCTCGACTCTGACAGCAAACTTTACAAGGAACAAAAAAACACATTTTATATCTCACGAATCTTTATGCATATTTCACAATATACTTTTATTATCATTTTAATAAATACAAAACGACACTGTGATTGAAAAGAAAACAATGAGTATTAAAGAGACACTAGAACGCATTAGACATTAGAAATATCAATCTTAATTTGGTATGTTCTTTTACTGACATCTTGTCTTTAGGTGGATGAACCAGCACATTATACTCAGAATCAAAATCCACAGCAGAAAAGAAAAGAGGGGACGAAAGAATCGGACATGAGAGGGATATTTTTGTCAATGAAAATGGAATGGCATAATCAAGTGGAGATGTATATGGATATATACACATATATACACATACATAAACACCACCAGAATGTAAAATAACCTGAGATACTCTTGCACCTCATTTCCAGAACACTGGCCACTGGGTGGATGATAGAAAATGACGATGACATGACAACAACAGTACAACAGCATCTGACGGCCTTTAGTTTCCACCCCCTTTTATCAACATTAGCAGTACAAAAAAAGACAAAACAAACAGTCATTGAACCACAAAAATCCTGAACATTAATATTGAAAACATTGTTGTAATCAGCGATTTGGAGTCCATAAAAGGCATACAAAGAAACAAGCTTTTCATTAAAAAAGGACAACCAATAAAAACATTGTCTGGAAAGACGAAAATCGAGAATCAGAGGCTGAGAAGTCGAAAGCGGCAGATGATAAGTGTGTGTGTGTGTGTGTGTGTGTGTGTGTGTGTGTGTTTTGTGGCGGTCAGGCAAATAGAAAGTGTTCTGATCCACACTGTGGCTGTGGACTTGAAGAAGTAGGACCTGCTAGTTAATATACAAGGCTTTTCTCCATACTGTTTGGGATCAAACACTGACTCAAAGCTACATTGTAAATCGTGCACACACCATTTCTTCTCAAAGTTACTGACACCAGACTGTGCTGATCATAGTGCACTGTAACTGAGGCACCAAGCTTTAGAGCAACAACTGCTTTAATAGATCACCTAATTTAACAGCACTTTAGCTGGACCAAACAGGTCAATGTGTTGTTTTCTTGGATGACACCGTACCATATACAGTATAATATAATAAACATAAAACAGTAAGTGCTCTAAAAAGCAAACAACATTAAAAATGGATGGAAATAAAAGACAAAAAAAACAAAACATAAAAGATGTAAACAAATTATATTGCTCCACTGATATTTTAAGTAGGTTTGGGAGTATAATTGCTACTGATTACAATAAATACTCCTCTGTGTTTGATGTCTGCTTACCAGTTAAGGCCTTAGAAGAATCATAAACCTGTCTCTGTAAGTGCTCTGACTGAACTAAAGCATGTGGACAGATTTCACTGACTCCTCCTTCCTTTTGACTGTTTTATGGTTTGTGCGCTGTTATGCTGAATGAAGAGCGTAAACTTAGCGTGGTAAAATTATTTAGGCAGTAAATCACAAAGGAAAAATAAAATTGAAATGCTTGGAGACCCTTGTGTAGAAATTAAAAAAAAAAAACAAGACAAACAAAAAAAAAAAACACACTCCCTTTTTGAAAACAAGACAATGCCTGAAGCTGCCCAACACGCTGAGCTGACAACAAACTATTATTGTGGAACAGCTAATTAGCAATTAAATAATCAACTCGGTCACCTACAGTAATACAGTATCCTCTGCATACAGTTCTCCCAGCCTTGTATCTGTTCTTCAGACCCTCAGGAACCTTGTGTGTCTGCCACCCAATTAGTCTCAACTATGGAAATGGGCGCCTTATTTGTTGCTGTCTGTGAGCAAAGCCTTACTCTTTAATATCTCTCTGTACATTAGTATATAATTTTCTTCTCTTTACTTTACAGTACAGAAACTCCTCTTCACATATTCTTCCGGTTCTTCATGTCAGCAGGAGCTATGTTTTTGTGCTTATCACCAAAAATTGCAGTGCAAAAACAATAATTAATAATAATAATGATAATTAATGGTAACTATTAACAAACAATGGATTATAAAACAATTATTTTATGGCACAACAGCCACTCAATTCACATATAATACAATTAACCAGATAAAACCAACTGTTCCTGTATATGGAAATAAAAAGCTCAAACTGAATTAGGCTTGCATAGCAATGCAACAACAAGTTAAAGAATATATTTACAGGAAACAAAATTCCCTTTTCCCCAAGGGCAATTATCAGAAAATTTGTTGTCTCATATAGATGTTTTCATTTTTTTTTTTACTTGCCTTTTTCTAACAAAAAGAAAATTACAGTAAGGTAGGAGGTGGAAAATATTTTCTTGAGGACGAAAACATAGTGAGATGTACAGTATGTCTGTGTCTATACATCACATTTACAGTTCTGTGACACTGCTTTTCTCTGTAGTGCCCTCTGCTGCACTCCTTCCCTCTGAGAACACACAGGTAAGGACAAAGTTCGTTGCCCCAACAAGGAGGGCGTCATTCTTTCATTGACAGACTGGGTTTTCTCCAGTTCACGTCCCAGGCAGATCACTCTGTGACACACAAGAGAGAAGAAAAGTGTCAGATGGGAGAAATGAAACTTTAATTTATAGAGACAGGTAATGATTTCGGGAAATACACTTATTCACTATATTTCCAAGAGTTACACGAGAAGAATGACACCACTCTCAAAGCCATGTAGACCTGAAGCTAAGCTGATTCACTTAGCATAAATTTCAATCAACTTTATTGGCCAAGCATGTTGACATATACAAGTGATTTTATTCCAGTTCACATTAGCTCTCATTATACTGAAAGAATTCCCAAGGGATAAATTTACAGGGTAGACTTACGGCTAAACAAAGCTATACAAATATTAGCTAAAGGCTAAAAGACTGTAAAACACCTAGCCTTATGTATGTCTCTAATGTTCCTACCAACACCTCTAAAGCTCAATAATTAGCATATTGTGTCTTGTTTATTTATAGCTATGGCCATATTATGATCAGAGAAGCCGGAATTTGTGAATGTAGTGAATATAGTGGAATTCTTCTTTTCACTGTACATGCAGTACTATATCTCGTAAAGCATGGCTCTAAAACATCAAAATCCTGAATTACTCACATAACTCCCCCGAGTACTGTCCCTGTCCGTTGGTCCCTAGGAATTCAGCATGCTCTGTGGCGGTCCACTGTTGCGGCTGTCGTGGACCCTCGGTCTTACGCGGCCCTGTCGAGCCCTTAGAGGAGGCTGTGCCAGAGGAGCTGTGTCCACCAGGGGAGGGGAACGATGGTTTACTGTATGGCAGGCACCCTTCCTCTGAAAACACAAGCAGAGGGACCCAGAGGCATACTTTGAGATTGAAGAGCAGACACAACACGTGATTTTTATTGTTTCAGTGAAACACATCTAACATCTGATGCATGGAAACAAAGAGCACTTTGCAAACCCCTCTCCTCCCGACATCTGCAGAGTTGCAGTGCCAACAGGCACTGCCAGGGCTTGCCACAGAGAGGACTCAGCCTCACACATGGCCTTGCAGCTACCAGCCTTATGAGGGGGTAAATACAATAACAGAGGGACCCCTGGCTCCCGTGGCACCCCCTGCTGCAGGGCAGCATAACATTGACCCACAGCAGTCCCTGACGTTGCGTGAAATCTCATCAAACTGCTCCCTACTGCTCCACTAATGACTGTAATAGAGCCTGCCCCGACCTTAGTGGATTCTACTGTGAATCAGTCAACAATCTGACACATATGGGAATTCACCTATGGGGTTTTTTTTGTAAAGATGCTGATTGTGGCACCTGTCTTTGTCTCGCAGTCTCAGATTAACTGTCTGAGAAAGTCCTGGCACAAAGAAGACAGGGTGCACAGCATGCAGATCTCTAATGGTTACAAACACACATGCACACACGCATATACACACAGGCGCACACAGATGGGGTGTAGAGTGGCTGCTGTTTGTGTGAAAAAAAGAAAGCTGAAGCGATTAGTGTGCATTTCAGTTGCTGGGGCCTCCTGCCTTACTTGGAGCAGAGCAGACCAATATTGGCAACAGTTGCAGGGGCATTGGGGAGGCTGAGGGAGGACTGAGGGGGGCATTCTGGAAACCAGAGCAAGTGGCAGACAGTGCAATCTGTTCATGGGAGCCCAGTCTCATCACAGCATGAAAGCTAACTTCAACACAAGAACTTAGAGAAAAATCGCTCTCTGCCAAGGCACAGCAGCAGCAAAACTCCAGTGTCTTGTTTTCTTGCATTGATGCAATGAAGTATCTCTTTATTAAAATAAATCCTTCAGTCAAGAACAATAAAATGTCCACTTCCACTCTGATTTCAGTATTGTTTAGAATGTGCAGTCTAGATTTTTTATTGCTTTAGTAGTGATTAGTTGTAAGAAGGCAAAATTATTTTATTGATCTTGTTTGGTTGGGAAGTGATGCATATATATTACACAAAATTCTTTTTTGGTGGCTGTTTATTTTAAGACATAAATAGGGTAAGTGTATATGAAACATCTGGAGTGCACAACCCTAAACAGATGTGACTGGCTTTCCTGAACTTTTTGGGAAGCCAGTTGACTAACATCTCTGATGGTGAGGTCAGTCAACATTTGGTACAGATTAAATTGTCTTGACAACCATTGGCTGGGTTGCCAAAGAATGAGTCAGAATAAATTTGGTAATCCCACAACTTTTCATCCTCCACCACACTCAGGTCAAAATTTCCAGTTGTTCAGCACCAGTTCAAGAAAATGTACCGTACATCAAAACCACATGACCAAATTGCTGACAACTTCAACTGACTTTAAGCTTAATGCTAAAACAGAATTCTAAAACAGAATGCTAATATGCTAACACTGACATGCTAATGTGTACTTTAAAGATGAAAAGATTGCCGCTGTAACTGTTAACTTAGTTGCTAACATAATCATGTTAACGAGCATGAGGTATGTAACAATCACATCTTTACAGGACTTGTCCGTTTACATGGCAACAAACTCAGGTGTTTTTTTTTAGATGTACCTGTTTTGTGTCCCCTGCGCCCATCATCAGCCCGGTCCACGGAGCCCAGCCTGTCTTGAGCCTGGCGATGATGTTCCAGAGAAGTGCGTGTCTGTCTGTCAATGGAGCTCTTCATGTCATCTGGCCCAGACAGGGGTCCTGACATAGGCGGACGCTCCAGAGAAGAAGCCTTCCTGTCTGTAGGGGGCACCATGCTGCTTACACTGCGAGCTCCCTGGATACGGCCCTGTCCCTGACAGGGAGGAGGCTCAGGGGGAGGAGGTAGGTCTGCTTCAAGAGAAACCCACAGTAAATCAAATAAATACATAAATTACTTATAAATTGTACAAATTGGAGATTCTTATCATGTATAGACACAATTCCATCAGATAGTATATTGCATATTAATATAACTTCTTTATAAAAACAACAACAGATGTTTTAAAGAACTTTCTACATAAACTATTTAAAATGCATTTTCAGTCGCTGCCTCACCGTCTGCACCAGCATCTCTCCGGTGGGGTGCTGTGCCCTGGCTTCGGGGTTTGCGTGTGGGCCTAGTGGCCCTCTGGTGGCCCAAGCTGTGTGTGCCGACTGTGCTGCCATCTGTTGAGAATGGACTGCTGGGCCGGGGCCTGTGGGACAAGCCTTTACCTGCAAGAGGGATAAAGGGCCACAGGCCAGCTTGTTAATAAAGACATTAAGGAGCCAACACCTGGACAACGGAGCTGAAGCTGCCATCAATAAAAGTAGAGGTTATCAACCAAGACCCAAAAACCTATTAGAAAACCAAGGTAAAGGTTGTCATTAGAAGAGAAAGCACTCTGGGAGAAGCCTATGAAAGGTAGCAAGTATAACATCCAGTTATTACCCAAGAAAGCCTGAGTCCAAGCCAGATGAGTTATACAGGGTCTGAATTAAAGTAAAGGATAGGGAGATACCCGCAGTGTAGCCATATACAACAGGTCCCATGCACAACCTGGGCACAGCGTCCAAAAGCAGCAGAGGGAGAGGAAATCACAAGCCAACATTATGGGGATACATCAGCCAATGGATGACAGGAAGACCAATTAGAGCAGAAACAAACAAATCATCTGCCACTGGTAGAAGTTCCAGTCCAGCAGTGGGTAACTGGTCCCCACACACCAACCTCTCTTGCTGAGGCTAGTGCCATCCAGGCGATAGCCTGCCTTGTCTGCAGCGGCCACCAGGGCCTGTGCAAAGCTGCAGTGGGTAAAGATGGAGCCGTCAGACGAACTGCCCAAACTGGACCTATGGCTGGAGAAATTACGGTCATCCTCTGAGGCTGAGCCCCACCCATTCACCATGGACCCTGGGGAACACCACAGGTTTCAGTTTTTCTGCATTTGTTTGTGCATTGTGTATTTATTTATTTTTATTACAAAACATTCAACCACGTCACATTCATACTTTTATATTCAGGGGCCATAACCTTTATGGATATATAATCTGCCATACTGAACATCTGTGTTGTGATTCTACATTTAGATGGATGAATGTATTAAGGGAAAGAGGTAATATTAATCTCCTACACTTCAATTATTTTGATATTTGCTGCAGGGCATTTCTGTTCATGCAGGTGAGTGGTTTTGAATAGTCATTCTGTTCTGGCCTGCCCCCTTTCATCTTAAAACACATACTGAACATACATTGCACAGACACACGCACGCACGCACGCACGCACACACACACACACACACACACACACACACACACAAAAAGGTGCACGGAAACACACACCAGAGTGTGCATAGTGGAGCAGCAGGACCGGCATCAACTGATTTTGCTCTTCCTTTGATAAAGAACAATGAGCGCACCTGTGAGTTAGCTACAGAACTGCCCCAGGTGACATAGATGAAGCATCTCACAAAACAGTGTATTGAATCAAACACCTGGTGGTATGCACACACTATTTTTTTTTTTTTGTTTTTCCTGTTTAAAAATGCGTAGCCACCACTGTCTCAAAGGTGCCATCATTTTATGAAAAGTATAAAGTCAAGGTATCTCACTCACACAAGGTTTTGGACACCTCTGCTCACGTTACTCTAAAGATGATTAAAAACGGAAGATTAAATCAATTCCCTACTTCATATGGTATAAAGACAAACATAATCAGGTATATGATGGAACTCGCACATAAGGCAGTCCTGTACATATTGTATGACTTCTGACTTCTGGCTTATATCTGTGCTACTGTAAGTATTTCTTCCTGCTTTTATTTTTTTTTTCTTCTTAAAAAAAGCTCGGCCAGCACTTCAAATATAAAAGTATCAGTCTGCCAATAAAAATATGGCACTTTGGCAAGCAAGAAACACAGAGAACAGTCGGCTAATGTGACAGCTTTCAGTGGGACTGGTTTGGCAGACTTTGCTGAAGTGGCACGAACCCAAGTGCTCTGCTCACACACTATCTCTCACTCGCACAGAACACAAGACTGATGTGATTGAACAGGCTGGTGTAACAGAGAACTGGGGAGGTGTGAGGGTAAAGGTTGTCAAGAGAGCAATGGGGACAAAAAGTTAGCAGCAGGATTTATTAAAAGGTCAGTATGATACAAAAGGTGGCGTCATCCAGGACGGCTGGCAGGGTTCAGAGATTCAAATGAACACAACCAGACGTACATCAGCTGCAGAGTATGGTCCCTCAGATGGTCCTTCTCTTTGCAATGAAATATAATACATAAAAATAATAAAATTTGACATCAAACTTGGTACCGTGATTGTGGTTTACTTATTCAGATAAACTTGGGTATCCCCTTCAAAGAGTTTTCCAACTTCCCCATCAGTGAGTCTCTTCAATTTTAACCGTATGTTTCACGCAGGTGGTTTCTCAGCCACGGGATGTGACTTCAAGGCATTGCATCTTCAACGGCTAACGTTGCAACAGATTTTCGCTCCTAATGCAGTAAAATTCCCTCAGATTATTGGAAACTTCTATAAAATATAAGCTTGCATAAGGTCTTGAAGCCCCTTATACAATCCATTTTTACTGCGCTAACTGAAATCCAAGGCTGTTACTACTTCGAGCCCTCCATCTTGCCTTGCTATTTTCTTTGAAATTCCTTTCTAAGAGTTTTTCTCTAAGAAAGAAAGACAGCAATTCCACTGGGTCCAATCCTCCCACAAAGAATAGAGCAGATAATGAAGTATAGGCAGTGCCAGCCAAAGCACTGAGGCTTCCAACTCCTCCGGCTCAGCAAAGGAACACTGCCTCAGCAAATCACATCACAGAATGACTTTTCAGTTGTACTAACTGCCACTTTCTACTGCTGAACCTCTGGAGCACTTCTATTCTCAGAAATAGCAGTCCAATCAAACTGTGATCATTGTATCATAATTTGATAAAAATTCAATCTAGTTTTCTTTTTGTCCTAGAAATGTGATTTTGATTTTTTTTTCTGTAGCTCCAGACCAAGGTTTGCACTACGAGTCTGTCATTTTATCATGTCTTGAACCAGAGCAATGGGCCAAACCATGTTCTCTAAAAACCACAGGCTGACACCTACCCTGCTCCATGCACTGATGGAGCAAGGCCAGTAAATGGGAGATAGTTGGGGGGGCAGTAAAATCCAGCTCAGGTCCCTCCTGCCACTAAAACTGATTTATACTGACGGAAACCCTAATCTGCATGTCGTTAAGCAGGAAAATCATTCCCCCTGACGAGCAGGCATCTCTACCTGTCGTCAGGAGACGTGACCCTGCTCCTCGCAAACCTGGCAAGGCTTTATGGGAGAGTAATCGCCCAGAACAGCCCAGCTTTCAACTCATTGTAGGCGTAACAGCCTCACTGCTGCCACATCTCAGCTTTACATGACCTGTACCACCCACACACCGAGCCAGGTAATACCTATGTGTTCACTTCATCTCTCTGACTCAAACAGGACACAAGTACCCACCACAACATCGGGATTTACATTTATCTGCTAAAAAAAATGTGTTGTATTATCACAGAGCATAGAATAACGCACAGGAAAGCCTGTGCAGACAATCTGCTGATGAAAAATGGCCCCAGAGGACAAGGCTGGTTGTTTTTTGGGGCATCAGTGAAATGTTTGATTTACTGGCCCTTTGGTGTAGCATTATGAAAACAGACCTATTTCCATATCATTAAAACAATGACAAATCTATCAAGCAAGGCTCGACAGGAACCTCACCTACCCTCCCCTATTTGTATAGCCTCAAAATGGTGGCCGCAATAAATCTCCGCGCTTTCCCCTATCCTCCCTCTCTTCCTCCCGCTAACCCTGGAGCAGGGACCATGTCTGTGTTGTCAAACGATGGGGTGCGAGGCAGACTTGCAGAGAGATAAGAAGAAATAGTGCTGTCTTCAGAGTAATACAGTGGAGGAGAGATGCAGTAGATTAGGGCCCAGTTGCTGCTTTATATTCCTCTAAATACATCAGCAGTAGTATGTGTCAGCGCTACCAAAACCACTGTTCCATCATCCCATGGAAAACTACTCTTTAGGGCTGCCACTGACAGGGTAGACCAACAAGCAGCACTGTCAACCCTCTTATTCTCATGCTTTCTCTCTCAACTGGCTCAGCTCCTCGACTTTCAGATACAGTATATTTTCTGCTCGCTCCCCATTTCTCTCCAAAATGGATTTTATTTATTTTTTTAGTATTCACAGACTTTGTTGGAAGCCCTGCTAGATACACAATATCACTGGGTTACATGACACCAGCGTTTTGTATCACAACCTGTCCCTATACTACATGATAAACATCCCTGCAGTGTTACCCTCTAGTTTACAGATGGATAGTGTGGCCTGGTCAGTATGAGAGCAGCGGTCCAGAAACCAGCTCTGCTGCTGCAATGTCATGCCCTTCATATGTCCCCCTGACAGACGGCTGTAAAAGTTTTCAGTGAGTTGTAAAAATGGAAATGGTGCCTCTAGTCTGGAATGAAATATGCCGCACGTGAAATTTATTTCAAATCTCCTCGGGAAGATATTGGTGGCGCTGGCTCCAGTGCTGTGTGCGAATTAAATCACAGTCACTCTCCCCTGCTCTCCTTACTTCTCCCTTCCTCTTAATTTCCCTCTCACTATCCTCTTTAAAATTCATGGACTTTCTTATCTCTTTTTTTGGAAATGATAATTTTAATTCCCTGGAGTCTACCAAAAATGCTTTAAAAACTTGATTGAGGGACACTCAGTAAGCATGTTTGCATAAAAATTAACGCCTAGCAGACTCATGAAGAACATGTCATGAACAACCATCCATTTACTGTATAAACAAGATGAAAGAACAATAGCATCTGAATACATTTTACCCCCTCAGTGATTGGAACACTCATCAATTTGTATTTGATCAAAAATGTGTAACATCACTATTTCATTATGCAAATATATACATGCACTACACAAACGTACTGGTAGATTTTCCAGAATTGTTAATTAGAAAAAAAAAAATATTATATATTGTGAGCAAACATAAATATCAACAAAGAAGACCCCCACCATACAGAATCCAGCCGGCCTACCTGTTAAAGAGCTGTCCAGGTTGTCCATGCTAGACCCTGGTGTGTGCTCAATACCACGGGGATGCCTGGCTCCATAACCTTCATCCTCTTCCTCATCGTCCTCCTCCTCCTCCTCATCAGGCAGATCAGTCTCCTGGTCAGAGATCATTGTGCTCGACACGTAGCCCACAGGAGGAGCTGGAGCCTGTGGAGGGAGAGAGCCTCCCTGCATGTGCCTTGGAAGAGACAGAGAAAAAAGTATATTATCCCACTGGTATGCACATACAGTATACATCAAAGAACGCGGAGGGGTGATTAGTGTAGAGAATACAGGGAATATTCAGTACCGTTACCGTGCCGCAACATGGTGGAAAAAATAAGGATGTATGTGAGCTAATTTTAGAGATCTTTCATATGCGAAGCGCTGAATAAATCTGGACAATTCCACTAATTCTACAGTGCTGCTTGCGTGCTAACACAATGACCCGCTAATTGCCACTGTAGATGGTACAAAGGCACGCTCTCCAGGCCTGTCGACACATGGCTGTCACCTCAGTGGCAGCCTGCTCTGCTGACAGCCGCGTTTGTATGAGGACTGCAATGGCTTTGACGCGGTTTGCAGTGGGAATTGGTTGTAATTACTGGCCCTCTGGTGTTGTCAGAGATGCTCTCTAACCAACATAGTCATTACTGAGTAACATGACATCTCCTTCCTGACAAGGCAACCCCCAACCCCCCCACATACACACACACACACACACACACACACACACACACACACACACAGACAGTTCACTGTTATGAATGAATGCAAGTCTGTCTGCGTTGCCGACAGAATGAAGCATGGCCTTCATCTGACTTGCATGAGCACAACAACAATGGAATTTGCTGTGTAGGTGTGGGAGGAGTAAACAACTGGGTAAAAAATTGTTTCTCTTAGAGTGAGCAAAATACAGTAGCCGCCTAAGTGGTAGCATGGGCCCATTAAAATGAAATGATAAATGGGTTTATCTCCACTGCACACACAGTTGACATGAAGGATACTGCAGGGCCAAAATAAATCCATGCAGCAACACACGCAGAACAGAATGTACAGTAAGCATCTTAAAATGAAAACAATGCATATATTATAGCTATCTCCCAACATATATAGATAGATAGATATTTAGACATTTAGATATATAGAGCTTTTCATTGTTATTTAAAAAAACTCAGATGCTTTTAATATCACAGTGTTTACCATGTCTGTTTTGCCATGTCCAGTTGGTATACCCTAGTCAGTTCATCCAAATGGGCCTGGAGCATGGGCTGCATCTCGTCCCGAGGAGAAGGGGTAAGGGTGGCTGTGGACTGCTGTCCAAAGGACACAGCAGCCGGAGAGGAGGCAACTCCTCGGATGGGCGGGGTGGGGACCCTCTCCTCCTCTTCTTCCAGCTCATCCTCCATGCCTTGGTGAAGATAGGTCTGGACGGGCATGGGGGGGCCCCAGCCATCACTCTCATACCTGAGGTAGGACGAGATGTCCATTATAGTTTCTCAAAGCTCAAAATGGCGTTTTCATCTTCGGCTTTGTCACAAGTGAGAAGCCTGAATCTGAGAACATTTTTCGATTAAAAACATGACTCACATGATTAATTGATTATCAAAACAGCTCCTGATTAATTTCCTGTCAATAGTCTAATCAATGACTCAAGTTGTGGTTCCAGCTCTGGTATGATCATCTATATTGGAAGTATGCGAATTACCACAAACAAAACCGATAAATGTATCATATATTTAACACAGCTCATTGATTTTAAAGCTATTGAGAGAAGAAAACGGAAAATACACATGGACAGAAACAGATTAACAATAAGGTACATGATGACATCAATGTCTCCAAAGGTAAGGAGAGTTACTGATGGAGGAATGGAATAGCTGGCAGCATAGAAATATAAACATTTTAAGATAAACCTATATACTATACTAACAGAGTTTTGTGACCTTGTCCAACTTTTGCAAGAATGTGTTACACGACAGTCCTGAGTGGAATTACAGAGGCAGTCAGGCTTCACTTCCTCATAGATGTGCTTATACATGCTGAAATAATACTGGCCATAAAGAAAATGTTCATTAAAGAAATTTGTCAGTGCACACTCCACAGGACATAACTGTTTTAATCTGCTGCCATTAAGAGCAGCATCAGATTTACAGTGCACAGGACTCTTCATTTGCCAGATAGCCTATTAAAGCAGATGACTCTCCCAGATTGGAAATGGGAGTAAGAGGACATAGTACCTGCTGGACCAAAGAGAGAGACACACACACTAACTGTCAAATAAGTCTCTAATACTTTGTACCTACAATATAATACATAAGCTTCTGGTAAATTTACTACACTAAATGAAGTGTTAAAAATGTGTCAGGTGATTTAAAAAAGCCACATAATTAGTATATAAATATATATATATATATATATATATATATATATATATATATGTATATTTGGTCTTGTTCAGTCTCTGTTGGTGGATAACACTGTTGGTATAAATCCCCCTCTGTGCCTGTCTGTCTCTCGCTTTATGAAACAATGCAAGTATGATTTTTTTCCACTGTGAAATTCAGCAAATAGATTAATCTGAAACCATCTGTGTGTCTGCGCTAGTGCGCTAGTAGCAGCAGGAGATTCCTCGAACATGTTTTTTTTTTTTTCCATTTATTTTCCTGTCATGAAGTCATCCCATAGATTGAAGACAGGATCAGCAGAGAGTTTGATCTGCAGCCATCTGTATATGAGTTTTTCTGTGAGAGCCTGAGTAAGTGAGGATGTGTGTGTATCTGGGTGCGTGTGGAGACTACACACACATTGATCCTTCACTTTTCTCCAGATGTACAGTAGTACAGTAATTAGCTGCAGAGAAAACAGAGCTGAACCCGGTTATTACACACTGCAAGGTGAAGTGTTGCTCACGTTGGCAAGCACCATCTTGTTCTTTCCAGCAAACAAAACACCAGATTCTATACTCTTTAGGTAGGCAGTAGAGGGAACGTACAACGATAGCAATAAGAAATCTCAAGTTATATATATCAAGTGTGGGAGGGGCTTGTAGTTAGGAATCATCGTTTTGAGTCGTTTTTTTAAATGTAATTTGTAATCATGGCTTCAAAAAAAAAAGAAAAAAAAGTCTTAACTGAGTCTAAATAAAAAGTGTGCAAATATTAATGGTCATAGTGGAAACAGGATTAGTGAACTTAATGAGGTCCAGGTGAAAATAAAATTGGGCTGAAATGTCAATGAAAATGAATGAAAAAGATACTGAAAAATGCATGCACTTTTGAGACGGTCACTAAACTCAGCTCGTCCATTTCCTGACTACTTTCAGGTTGTGCCAAGTGACATTCAAGTGCTTCGATATGTGATCATGAGGTAAAAATAAACCTGTGCATCTTCAGTCAAACTTCAGTATTACTGCAAAAATGTGAATGTTGCTTTTATCTGTTTAGAGCATACTATCCGTTCACATTCGTATTTAACATACCCTCCTCCTTCATGGTGCTCATTGGGATAATGGTCCATCTCAGTGCCAGGGAGAGGGTGAACAGGGGGAGGGGGCAGGGGAACATTGGCCCAGTTGGACCCATTGGCTTTAGTGGGTTTGGAGCCAGCCTTGGTCTTCTTCTTCTTTCCTCCCTTTCCACCTACACAAGGAGAGCATGTACTTGAGAGATACAGTCATTGGAAATTAGGTTGTAAAAGAAAATCAATTAAAAACTAATTTATAACTAGGATAGCATTACAAATTACAGTAGCTGCTTTTGTCATGTAACAAATGTGGAAAGAAACTCAATTTAGTCCAAACATGTTACATAGATTACAAATCCATTTGAAGTCAGCTTCAACATACCCTTGGAAAGTCATACACAATTTCAAACACAAGATTGTAATGGGCTCCTGTCTGTCAGTGCTTACACACAAAAGCTCAAGGTTTCCTGATGAAAAGCATGCCTCCATTGATTGATTGGCTGAAAAGCCTCACATCTCCATAGAAACAGGAGAAAACGGCAGTAAACGAGGCTGAGGCAGACCTTTGTGCTCCACCATCCCTCAGTGTCCCCTTTCACACCAGGCTTTGGCTTCTACAATGAAATATCTCACTTCACAGCATCATCATAATGAATGGCTTGTGTAGTGTCAGTGTGTCCCTAATGGAATTCACTGAGAGTCTATTACTACTTTCATTTCTTTTATTACACCAGAGTGCCGCTAACCCCATCCATTTCCACTCATATCCCTCCAACACCAGATTCTCCTCTGTCCCATCCATCTTTATAAATCTGCCAGCCAGGTCAATACTGGGTTTTATATGATTTGGTCACTGTGGAAGAAACCTTTTTTTTTTTTTTAAACTTTAAAACACATTTGCCTTCAAGCCAAAATCTGCTTTTAAGTTGAAATATATACAGTATACATACTCTGAAGCTTATAAACAGTATTTTAGAGCTGTTCTTATCTACTGGCAATTCATTAATCATTAAAAAAATATTGAGGAAAAAAACATCTGTTGGATGTTACTTTAACATTTGTTACTAGCTCCTTTAAATCTTTACTCATTGGTATATGTGGAAATATAATACTGCAACTCCCACAAAGGCAACAGCTCTGTCCTTCTATAATTATATTATACCTGCTTGCAATTCAGTCCATACAATGAAAACAACTACAGACCTGAGGTAGTGTTGGCTTGTGCACCTCAATGGGTAGAAGATGTTAACTTAACATGAGGGCTGCAACTACAGATTATTTTCATTATTGATTAACTGTTACAACTTCTGAAAGCTTAAGGTGAAATTTTTAAATCTCAGCTAACAAAGATATTTAGTTTACGATCACAAAAGACAAGAGACAAGAAAACTAGCATGTGATCACAACTAAGAAGCTGGAACCCGGGGATGTTCTACATTTTTGCTGGAAAAAAGAAGACCTACACCTGAATTAATTCATTAACAAGAGAGTTGCTACCTGCTTATCTGCCTGCTAACTAGGTCTACCTATAAAATATACAAATATAGAGTAAAAGCAACTAACAAATTGTAAATACTGTTGTACAGATGCATAATGCATCATATTGTGAACATTATTGCTTTAAATACTCAGTTGTCAGTTTATTAGGAACAACTCGCTGAGAAGTAATGCAGTCCTGCGATAAATCCTCCTTCATGAAGGTTATAATGTTCAGTTTGTGAAACTTTATGATGTATGATCATTTTGGAGGCTACAAATTGCGGAGCTGTTGCGCTATATTGTCTTATATTGACAGGTGTTCCTATGATTTGTCCACCCCATTCGTGATGGGAGGATCCATTGCAGGGCTGTTGTATTAGACTGCATTAGCTTTAGCAAGGTGTTCCTAAAAAACCAACAACTGAGTATGCTTCCAGAATAAATGGTTGAGAAAGGACGCCAGTATCAGACAACATTCACCGACCTAGAAAGTTGAGACAATTTACATCCGTTCGACCAGAACGTCCACTGAGCGTAAAGTGCATTGTAATGATACATGAAATATAATAAGTTCACACATCTATGAGGCTAATCAATAATCTCTACTCTAATATGTTTTACCCCTTTAAAATTAACAGTATATATTCACAGTAATAATGCAAATGTGTCTCTTGAGCATTACTAACTGTGGTGAGTAGATCTCTACATCACATCATCACAAAACACACATTGTACATTATCTTCCCGTAGCAACCCTACACTGCGCAATTAGTTTTGAGCATTAAGTGTTTTTTAAGATAATATGTATGTAATGTGTTTAATCTTTTGTGCATATGGAAGGGAAGCAAGGAGACATACTCTAATGTATTTGCATATATAAATCCATTAGCGGAAGGCTGAAGTGCCTCTACCAGTAAACCCCTTACATCTCAATCCAGAAAATACCTCAGGCTGACGTCATCAGCCTCACAGACTAGTGAAAGCCATCTTTGGGAAACTCTGTTGAACACATTTGTATCTGTCATCTGTTGGTTAGCCTTCCCTGCCAAAGGCCTGTAATCACTTTTCCCAGTGCCACAAAAAAAAAAAGCTGCCAATATTGCATCTCGTGCAATGTAACATCATGCATTCTAATGTAATTTAATAAACTGAGCAGATCACTGTCATGAAACGAAACTTACAGAAGCAATGAGTTACAGTTCTATTGATTTTCATGGAAGCCAGATGGCAGAGAAATCATAAATACTGTATATGTTTCAAGTCCAGAAAATTATGATTATATTGCTATTAAAAATTTCTTTCCAGCAAGAAAAACAAAACCACTTCAAAGATGAGCATGGTAAAAATACTGGGGAAGGAGAAGAAATATCAGGCATGGGGAGATAGAAGAGGTGTCAGAATAAGATTAATAAAGAATGGAAGTAATAAAAGAAACAACTGTAAGCCCAAGGCAGGCGGCACCACAGTGTAAGTATAGTCTGAAAGTAATTGGGTTTCCTAATCGTACCTCTGGGCGACGCTTGACTTTTACCAATAAATGGTGAGCTGACGTGATTGTTCAATCATCCTTAGTCCCTCCACACAAGACCAGCCATCAATATTGTAAATGAGCCTCTTCTAGGGATGGACTGGCACTGGAATTATAACAGTTCACCCCAAATATGAAAAATACAGAGAGAGAGAGAGGCTGTGGCTAGGAGCTATACAGGAATTACACAGCGAACCATCTCCTCTGACAAAACTGGGCCTCTCTTCAAAGGGGAACTCATACTAAATATAGATTCAGCATTGGGTATTTATACCCAAGGTTTGGGCGGTCCCAGCCTATAACTGTAGGGCTGCATAGCCTTCAGCTTGCTTTGTTTTCACTGGGTGCGTCAGTGGTGAGGGGGAAAACCACAGAGCGCAGACTCTAGGAAGACTATGCAGTCGGATATAACTTATAGGTGGGAGAATAAATTTAAAAAGGACATCAAATTAACTGAAAGTCATGGATCATTATTTTTCATCTTAGTTAACATAGTTAACATGTCACATAATGAGGTGAGATGCAACACATACAGAGAGAGCAGGAGCACAAGAGGTCACACACAACCATGGACTTCACATGATCATGGACTTTGTAGCCTTACAGAGAGGCTGGTGTGAGTGGAGGGGAACGGGGAGTCTTCAGGGTCTCTAACGGCTACAGAAAACATAAAAAACACCAGCTACCTCTTCTCCCCTACGCTATGAAAGGTTTTAATGAGCAGCTTCATGCCCCCAGTGGAGATCCATGCTGCCATAAAAGCTGCTCTATTTCTGTTCCTTTTCATCCTGCTCTCCTCCTTCAGACCTGACATTCATTATTCTTTCTATCTCCTTCAAGGGAGAGCACAGCACTGTAGCTTCAACCCCCCCCCTCCCCCCTTCAAATGCTGAGTTTACTTTGGTTGAAGTCTGAATCAGAGCTAAGCTCATGCTGATTAAAATTTCCATCACTGTGGTACATTGCACTATACGGCATATAGCATGCAGTGTATTTTACACTCAGAAACTCAGTTTGGTTCTCATCCCTTATTCAGTAAAGCAACAAGTCTGAAAAATATCATAGATTTTGTCAATTATCTTTTATAGTATTATTAATACATATAGACATTACTATTTCAGTCTTATTCAAATAATTATTTTTACTTTAGAGATGCAATGCTGTTTGCACAATTCCTTAAAATAGGCACCAGGCTGTACTAGTCTGCACATTGTATAGTATACATTCCTGTGATCATTTTTGTTATGGGATACTATTAGAATGTGGCCCAGGCGACATACTTCTGTCTGAACCTGACCTGAGTCCAAGAGAGTAGTGACCGAGCCCAAGCCGGACCCAAGCACTGAGTTTGTATTACACTATCACACACTTGTTGCTGTTACCATGGCCACAGCTTGCCTGTTTACCCGGGTTACACATGTATGGGCACCTCGTAAATGACAGTCAAAAGGCTGATGTGACTGAACCCGACCCAAACCCGAACTTCAATTCAAAATTTTTTTCTGAACCCGGCCCAACCTGAGCCCGACAGGTTTTAACCAAGGAGCGTTCTTTAACAACAAGAATGTAAGTAATTAATCTCCCTCACAATATCCACATACTATACGCATTTACATTCTGTCTTTTTACTAATCTGACAGTGCTTTAAAGAAATAGTTAAACGTTTTGGGGAATCCAGCTATTCACTTTCTTGCAGAGTTAGATAAGAAGTTTGGTGCCACTGTCGTATCCTTCCACTGACAATACCCCTAAAGCTTCAGCCAGGAAACAGTTATCTTAGTTTAGAATAAAGACTGGAAACAGGATGAAAAATGCTGGCTTAACTCTGTCCAAAAGCAAAAAATAATGCCTATCAGCACCTCTAAAGCTCACTAATTAACACACTAGTATATCTCCATTGTTAATATCCGAAGTGTAAAAATGAGGGGGGGTAATATGCTAGAAGGTGAATTTAGTTATCTTTGGACAGAGGCAGACTGCCTGTTTTCCCCGTTTCTAGTTTCGATGCTAAACATACCTCCTGGTGACTGTAGCTTAATATTTAACAGAGAGATATGAGACTGGTATGGATCTTCACATCTAACTCTGGGCAAGAAATCAAATAAGCAAAGTTCCTCAAGGTGATGAACTATTTTTTCAGCATATACTGCATTTACACTGAACATTTACTGTTAAGCAGCAGTACCTCTTTTTCTATGTTTCTCTTTGTCTCATGAAATCATAATAGGGTATGTGCTAAGGCCAGTAAGAGCCCTCAGTAACCTGCGTGTCTTTGGGAAGAATCTGCCTGTCAGGCATGGCCACTTCACATCCTTCTCTCCAGCCCACTGTGTGCCAGAGCACTGAATTAGAGACCAGTTAAGGCAGTGGCTTGTAACTAGATAAAAGAGGAGAGTGGATGGGAGGCAGGCAGAGGGCTGCCTTGGTGTCCTATAAATGACATTGTAATTCTCTGAACATGGGTTTTAGTGTAGTCGGCAACCATTAGGGGAAGAGGGAAAAAGGGAGGTATTTTTGCCACTTTAACCAGCCAAGCATCTCTAATGGTGTGTGCGTGTGCGTGTGTGTATATAGTCCACTCTGTCTGAAAGACTCCCTCTGCCCCTATTCCCATCTTCTCAGTCACAAAGTGAGAGACAAAGCCTTTATAAGAACCAGCAGTGATGGCAGAAACCCAGCATTAGCACTTGCAGCCATATTCTGTCAGGAGATCATAGTACTATTCTTTCCCTCTGATTTAAATGCCCCGTTTCTTTATGCTCCAATAACTCTTGTCCAACTCTTTATCACAACATGGCTACATATAGTAGTAGCCATTATACTCAGAAGTGAGTGTTCACATGTCATGAACTGTAAGCAGGGGGAGCTGAGTGAGCAAAGCATCTCTGGTGAGGGAGAGGGACTATGTTAATATAAACATTTTTGTAACATGCAAATAACAGATCAATGAAGCAATTAAAACATCTGTCAATCCTAAAGTCAAGCGGCAGAGCCCCAGAGTGTTTCCCAGTTTACTTAATAAAATTCTCTGCTGCGTAAACCAACCTGAGAGACTGCCGCTTCGCTCTGAGCTGTTGTGAGAGCTGGTGGTGCTGAAATCTTGTGATTGGTTGTGTGGGATTCTATTAGACAATCCTTCGGCCAATCGGTAGTCAGGAATGAAAAGGAGGGCTACAGTGGGGGTTAAAGGGCAAAAACCACAGTGGCATCAGGTGACTGGCAGTTAGCACAAGCACATGCAAACATGCAGTTAGAGCATCAAGCAAGCAGGATATATTCAGGATTCATACATTCAACAAGCTGCACTTGTTTAACATTTCCTTCATTTTGGGGTTTGTATGCAACCGACAGTACATGTGCTGGACAAATTCGATTTGCTATTGATCTGAAAAAAAAAAAAAAACCTAGTGTTTATCTTTTCAATTCACAAGATGAGATAAATGAGTTAAAGTAGAGACTTTAATTCAATATTTGTCCTCCTTCAGCAAGCTATAATCATGTATAATAATATGTGATCATACTCTTTAAAATGATGCCAGGGAGAATTAGAAAAGTAGTTTTTAAAGATTCATCGCATTAGGCGGACTTTGTAAAAACTATAATTAATCAGTTTTTAGACTGTTGGAAAATGAGATCATAAATATGTATTAGAATACAGCCGATGAACGCTCATTACACCTTAAGTATGAAACCCCACTCTGCTTTAAAAAAAATCCCATATCAAATCCACAGTAATTCATTTGGATTATTTTCTTAAACATTAGTCAAGCTAAAATGGATTGGCAATTACTCTGAAACTGAAGGAGGAGTGGTACCATCATGAAAACCCAGCAAGAAAATGGATGGATGACTTAACTGCACTACTCCTCCAAGAGATGTTTATTCAACCTTGGAGAGTAACCAAGATGATATGAGCTCGGGGAAAAATGGCTCTTTTTTTAAGACAACCTCCCCTCACCTCGGTGGGGTTCCGAAGGCTTCAGAGACTTTGGGTGGAGAAGTTTAAATGTACTGTAAATTGAAGTTTGTGATATCGATTGATTGACTAATAGTTCTAACCGACACACTATCGTATAGACTTGCTAAACATCCGTCACATGGGGGTAACAACATCACCACATATCGCTATTGGCACACTCACTTTCTCCGTGTAACTTACTGTTGTTGCAGGAATTCTTGTCGGGCAGGGAGTAGCCCAGGTTGGCCATCTCTTGCTTGGCCTGGAGTGAAGCTTTCCACTGGGCCTCGGGCAGGTCCACAGCCAGCTCATGGATGCTGCTGGAGTGGAGAATCTGAGTGGTGGCATAGGGAGTGGCCTGGGATGCTTGGCCAGGGCTGTTGTAGTTGGCTTTAGTGGTGAAATCTATGCTGCTGTAGATGGCTCCATCAGAGAGCATGGTGCCTGTCTTATCCCCTTGACCAGTAGGGAGATCTGGAAAAGAGGAAGGGAGGGAGAATGTAGAAAAGGAGGAAAAAGTTCATCTCACCTGTAACTCTGCATTATTCAAACAAAAAACCTATCTGTTTTTATGGTAGATAAAGAGAACAGGACTACCCAGCTATACGTCTGGCTGGATAGTCCAGGGTTGGTCACACGGCCCTTGATTCTTATGGAATTAAAGTCTGGGTCTTGGTGCTTTCAGGTCAGCTCACATTTTAAGAAACAGCACTTAAAAGGTTAATCTCACTGAAAAAAAAATCATCCCAGTTATTCATGTATTCCAATCCTCAGCCTCCAAGCTGAGGTGCCCTGTTCCCCTCCACATGTGAGGATATCTCACTCCCCTCCCTTCTCTGTTCATATACATGAGGGATAAAGCTGCTGCTCTGCGTGTGTGTGTGTGTGTGTGTATGTGTGTGTGTGATGACAGAGGAAGGGAGGAAAAGAGCAAGCAGACTCTCTCCGTAGTGCATGGTTTGCATGCCCAGTGAAGGGGAGATGATGTAGAGCCATGGCGGAAGTGTCCGCATCTGCGCCAGTCAAGCTGCGCCTGTCCTTCACGACTGGCTGCTCAAGACCATCCTTTCAAACACCCATCCACCCCCTGCTCCTCTGCCTCCTCTGACGGTCTCTCCCCTCACATTCTCTTGCTCTGAGGTATGGGCTATGACACAAAGCTGGACTATTTGCCATTACTCAGCCAGGCGACAGTGGGGGCCCTGTTGTTAATGCTCTAGCTGTCCTCTGATGTGATATATAAATGTATATCCAAACACACGCGCGGTATGCACATATGTATACATCTTGCATGCATAGATGTACATAATGAACAACAGGAGCTCTGGTAGAACAGAAGGGAGGGCAGGTCATCATCTTTCATCTTTTCCATTCTCTTTCTTAAAGCACCACGATGCTCACCTCCTCGGCCAAAGTTACTCAGGTCATTGGGTCCCCCGGAGCTGCTGTTGACAGGCAGGCTGGTGGCTGGCCAAGAGTCCGCTAACCAGGGGTAGCCTGGGTCACCCGCATTCAACAGTCCTGGCCGGCTGAGCAGAAATAGAGGATGAAACGCTAGATTAAGCATAGGCTGTGAAATTACATTACTCCCAGAGTTTTTTCTGTACAAAGAACAACCGCAATTCCTTATTATGCATGGTCTAATTCTGCATTATGTTACTGGATTTAGAAATAATGAACAGAAAAACATGACAGCAATCAGCAGCGAGACAACATGAAGACAAAAAAATCAAACATATGTTTAAATGTTAGTTTGTGCACAAGAATGTGTGTTTGTGTGAGATAAGCTTGCCGTAAGCCTCTGAAGCTAATGAAACACTTCTGAGATAGAGGGAAGTACAGTACGGATACATTTCTTCTCCCACAAAGTTAGAATTCCTTCAGGCAACCACAGCCCTTTATCTCTCTGTTTCTCCCGCTGTGTCTTTGTCACATTCTCTGAGTTATTAATGCAAAAGCACACCGTGGAGACACTAATGCATGCATTTGCTCTCTGCACACACGTGCAACAGTGCACATCCACACCCACACCCACACCCACATGTATATGTTTCCTTATTCATTAATATCGTGTACATTCTGCTGTGTTTTCCCATCAGCCCCTTGTGGTGATGTCCAGACAGTCTAAATCTTATTTGATGAGACGTCAATCTTCAGCCCTAGCCGCACCATGGTGCCCCGACCCACTTGTGGGATGCCTGCTTATGACAGAGGGCAGCTCCATTTAACAGGTGTTGTGTCCCTCCTGAGGGGGTGAGAACCATAAAAAGCAGCCATTAAGACTTTAACCTGTCATGGGTGACTGCTGGGAGGCCATTAGGGCCACTTTACTGTACAATCACGTCTGAGGCTCGTTAACATGGGTAACACAGATGGAGTTAAATGAGAATTAGAAATGGAGTTAAATGCCTTTGTTTATGTGTCAGTTCACTGATGAATCATATTCTACTTGCTTGTAATGACCTGCCATTGAAATGGATTAAAATACGGACAAAAACTTAATAATGTATAATCACTAATTTACTTAATAGAGGAAGGATACAAAATAAACACATTTTAATCAAACGAAAGACCCAGTGAAAGTATTTTGCTGAGGGACTCTTATTCATATTCCCTGGGAAATCACACTCTGCACTGGTCAGACAAGCACCACATGTGATGAAGAGGACAGCACTGTCTTCTCTGTCAGTGCCTGGCAGTGCTGTATGTAGCAGACTACAGATACACATGTGCACTCTGAGAAGCTGCATAACACAGTAGTTAGCAACCTGGCTGCCTGATGGGGCTTTTTGTCTCAGCTCCAGTAGGGTGATATGTTGGCTCTGGGGGACTGGGAGAGAGTCAGGCCCTGAGGACAAGGGCAGGTAATGGGCGTGCTGCAGTCAGTCTCTCCCTCAGCCACAGGTTCTAAATGAGAAAAGCTGTTCCACAGAGGGGGGAGTCCAAATGTACTGCAGCCCTGGCAAGCTAAGAGCCCTTGTTGTGGTTCCTGAATGCCAAAACAGGCCCTCGGGGGAGACAAGTCATTCAAATTGATGGCTGTGCATCCGACACATGCACTTTTATAGGGTAATACATCTCTCCCCATCCTTCTACCTCTGTTTCTGGCTGCCATGTTCCCAAACTGCCATCATTCTCTCTCACCGTACCACCTTTCCCTAACCCCTTTCCCCACTTTATTTTCCCCCATACACCTCCACCTCCCCTTTTTATCCCCCCCTTGTGCGCTTAGCATCTGTCAGAATAAAAGCAGCTGAAAAGGAGGGGACTTTTGTTTTCTGCTGTACACTCCAGCAAGACTGCACCACAAATGTACACAGTCTAAAGTAAAAGAGCATGCCTTTGTCTCATCACCACTCTCTTGCCCTGTGTGCTCCAGCAAGTCCTCCCCCAGCCCACTAGAGAAAAACCATTTGAAAGACAAGGAGCTGACAGTGGAAATGGCTGCATCGTCCTTGTGTTCATCACACAGCAGTACTCCTGCTAAGGATAATTAGAATAAGACTGATTTCTACTGGGGATATTTGTTATATATGTGAGTGTGTGTCTGCGTGTGAGTGCGCATGTGTGTGTGAGATGGTGCGGTAATGGGGAGCAGGTGGGGGGTGGGCACTGGGTCATATGTCTAATGAAAAGTTGACACCTAACTTGGATGGATAGCAACCTTGGCAGATAAAATTTGATTTGGAGCGTTTCCTCTTCCTGTTGGACATTTCAGTTACTTGTGATGGGTAGGAAACCATAAATACAACCTGAGACGCCTGACACTGAGCTTCCCATAAATAAGCCAAGTGAGAGATATTAATTCCAAAGCAACTTCATAAATCAGCTGTTTATGGTCCCACAGACTGGTGAATGGAACTTGGATTAAAAGTCTAGACATTAGCTAACACTTAGAGCAATGGGAAACCCAGATTACTTTCTGGATTAACTCTCAGGGAACATGCTGTCATTTAGCATTCAGATCCTGGGATGTAAAGGAATCTCCATAGCAACAGTATTAGTGAAACCTGTTCACTGCAATGCTCAGCCAATTCTCCCTTCCTATAGGAGTGAATCTGCTTTACTAAAATATTGATCAGTGCTGAGATAGGAAGTTATTACTACCTCCTAATTACCATCACCCTATTGGCAGGGGGATAAGGAATGAGCCCTTATCGGCTTTTATCAATTTCAATTGAGCAGCCAAAGTCAAATCGTCCAGGTCTACCAATCTGCAGCCTATTCATCTTCCATGAATCATTTATTTTGTGATCGATTAAGTGTAATTGTTCAGTCAGAGCAATTTGGCAGGAGCCAATGAGAAACTGGAAACAGACATGGCTTCATTTGCTATTGTCTAATTAATGCAATAAACATCTCATGTAACAAATGAACACATTTTCCTCTGATACTCTGCTACACATTTTCACTCTCAGGGCAGATGGGGAAGTTGCAACATCTGGGATTTGATGGCACTAGAGTGGCGAACGGATCAGAGGCTCGCATTAGAATAAGAGCCCCAGACTGCATCCTATTCCAGTGTTGTGAAAATTGTGGCAGTTGCGGCTCCTGACTAAAGATATGACAAATATAGAGCACCACAAATACAGACATTTCAAATCCCATTCGCTGGACTGAGAATCAGAACCACTTATGTGGAAAATTGAAGGAAAAACAGTGCAGCAGAAAGTAGATGAGAAAAGGCACGACAAGTGGCGTGGCTAATTCATTGAGAGCCTGCTGGCAGCTCACAGAACAATACAGGCAAAATTGTCCATTGTGGCATCCAGTCATACGCACACAGTAAGGGAAAAAAAAATAATAATAAAAAAAATAAAATAAAATAAAAAAAAGCACCAATATAAAAATGCTGCAAGCAGACTTCAGAGCACACACATTCCCCAAAGCCCAGAGACACTCAGGGTCAGATTTAGTTGGCAGTCTTTCGCTGAGTGTTTGAGATCTGGAGGTTTTACCTAGTCAGGTGTGATAAGTAGTAGATAGACAGAAGCCAGGGATTCTCAAGGGAGTCTCTTGAATACCCACAAAGGCTCAGTAACTGGTGTCATTGAGATGTGCCCTGCTCTCTGAAGCTCCTCTCTCTTTCACTAACACACACTGAAATGGAGCAGGCTATATGGGGGTGCAAGTGGGGTACCTCCACACACCTCTCCCCTGGGTAATTATTTTTACATTATTACATGTGCTCAGATCCCAGCCGCCCACGCAAGGTGACAGGCAAATTTATCACTCCAGAGGGCTTCTGGGTTGCCTGTAGCCAGCAGCGGAAGATAAATGACAAAATAAAAGCACTCTCTGCTTAAATTGTTTCTGTTAATTCTGTTGAGGAGATTTATGAGTTCATCTATCGATGCATGAACGGAGATGTGGTAGAAATGTATATTTGCACACCAGTTTGCATGGTAGGCACACAAACAGGTATTGGTTATCTATCAATATATCAGTCGTTTATCGGTGTTAGAATCAAGAGCAGCTTGCTGTGGACTTGATGCGTGACTAAGGAGAAAACATGTTTAGAAATGTAAAGATAATAATGACAGGAAGATGTTTTTTTTTTTTCTTTCTTTCTTCTCGCTTGTGATATCTCACTAAAATACTGATAGAGTCATTCTGGCGATGTGGTTTTGTTTCTGGAGCGACACTCACCTTCCATTGCTCATCAGACCGCCATCAACTCTCTGGAATGTCACTAGAGTCAGAGAAGAAAGAAAGAGGAAAAAAAGAGACAACACCAGATATTACGTTTTTCTAGTATACATAGCGAACAACCAGGATTTATTTCAATAATAAAGATAATACATTGTATTTTCAGTACTGTCCAGTTTGCCCTTGTGCTTCAACAGCTATGTATTCATCTGTTCACTTTTTCTCACACAGCTAGATAGTTGATGACTTCACTAAGGGATGCAGATGTCCCTCTGCGTCCATTGCCTTTCATGAAAATTAAAAAAAAAAAAAAAAAAAGTGCAATGATGAGGATTGCATATTGCTTTGCTTTGCATAAGTGGAGACGTCATGTGTTCCTCAAGGACAAGATGCCTGATGAGAGGGAAAACTCATTTCATCTTTCTTATTTTGCTGCGGAGCTATTATCAGATTTGTGATTAAATCTCAACCAAAAAATGATTAGAAAAGGCAGAGGGCTCGTTAATCACGTTGAATTTTCTATCTACAAGCACAGAGGCTGAGTTACTGATCCCTCAGCTAGCAGGGCTCCCCAGTAGCCATGCATGTGGCCTGTTCCATTACAGTGATCTATAGATAACAAGGGCCGCTCTTTGTCAGCGGTTGGTAAAACTCCATGGCTCAAAGTGAGAGACGGCTGTAAAGGATCTATTTCATCTCTGCTCAACCACCATGATGACAAAGCAGCATCAAGAGTCCTAAGCATGTAATAACTTCAATGGATCACAGGAAACACAGGAAAGCAGCGAGAGTTTTGGAAATCACCTCATACCAATGAGAAAAAACAGAGAGGATGGAAAAAAAAAAAAGAGAGCCGGTTTACTCAAGAGAGAGAAGGAGAGCTGTTAGTAATTTGGCTCATTTGTTCCACAGATGGAGATTAAAGAGAGAAGGAGGCTGAACATTCCTCCTCTCTTTTTCTGTTTCATTCAGGTTGATTCCACAACAGGCCCAGGCATGGGCGAGAGAGAGGGGGCTTTTCTGTGGGTGACGTCGCCACACAGATGACAGGGAGAGGAAACTCCCACAATAGATTACAGAGGTTGCTAACAGGACATTTTAATGCGTTGTCAACATTACCTAAGCTTACTTAATCCAATTTTCTCTCTCGTGAACAGAATTTTAGGATTTTAAACAAGAGAAACACAATTTAAAATCTGTCCAGCATGAATGTCGGAACACTTTAGAGTTTATTTACTGCATTAAGGTTTAAGCAACTGGATAGCAGCAGGTGGAATTAAAATACTTACTGCTAACAATAGTGTTACTCAGATAAAACAAACATTGCAGGTCCGTCTGAGTAAAATATAGCTTTGACGGCTCGAGACCGACTTGGCATTCTTTATTCAGTCATAGCTAAAGCCATTTCTCTTTGTTCCACCACCAACAAACTTGCATTCGAGAATTCTCCGTCGGTTGAGAGAGGACTGACAGGAGAAGGAGGTGGAGGCGAGGGGAGACTATGCAGCGGGAAAGCCTCTGAAGTCCCTATCTGTGCTCAGGCACATTTCTAGGCTGCTGTGGAATACTTTTATGTTAGCCAGAGTGACATGGCGGCATAGCTGTGCTTCTCGCCTCTGTCTTCCAGATAAGCGCTTTCTCCAATATGAATACAGATTAATCCCCTTTAATAAGCATTAAGGGGGGTGGACATAATCAGCGTATAAAAATTCCATCAAATCTCTTTCCTGCTGGCTGTGCGCCTCAACAGTGTAGTGATTTACCTCTCTTGTACTGACAGCTTTAGGAGGCTGAGACAGGACACTCTCGATACATCAACTAATTGTCAATACAGAGAAGAGCAGCACTATAAGACTCTTCAGCCACACTCCGGCTCATGTTCTGAATGTGACCTCACCAACTCTATACTCTCTGCTATGTTTGGCCTTGTTCTGTGTTTCCATACTTAAAACTACTTTAGGGAATTAACTTGATTCCTCTCTGTTTCGCTGTTTCAAAAGTTTTGCTAACATTAATGTGGTCCATAATCTGTTGTTACAGAGGCTGTGGAAGGACTACAGTAAATTGTGTTTTTGGCTGTAGGTTCCTCAGAGGCCGCATAGCCATAGGTGTATTTCACCAAAAAATGTATTAGCTAAGGTTGTCAGTAAATCCAGGAAACAGAAAGAAGGGCACTGTGCTGAGCCCTGACTCATCAGTTACACATACTATACAGTACAGAGGCCTCTGGGCATCATTTTCATCTAATCTGTAATGTCTTTTCTTCTTTTACTTTTTTTTTTACTTTCTCTTTACACCCAACTACTCAGTGTCTTTGATAGGCTACTCTCAAAGGACAGACGGTGACATAGGCTACACACATCAAAATGGCTGTAAACAAAGCAAACAAAGAAATTCAGCCGAGGCAGCCAAATACATACAGTCACAGTAGTGGGGCAAATCGTCACAAGAACACAAAAGCTAAATATAAGGGAAGGAAGAAAATAAAATACACCATCCAGCTGCCTAACTGACACCTATAGAGAACAGATATGTAAAACATAACATGATTTGAGCCTTGAGAAGAAAAGAAAAAGGAATATGATTATTTGAGGAGGAGGAAAATGGACAGTCTTACCCTGTACAACAAGACTGTCACGAAGAAAGGTACACAAGACAGGATGAAACTTCATTCAAGAACAGACATACACACAAATACAACACAATATGTACATAACGCTGTAGGTTGGGCAGGGATAAGAGTTTCAGTTTGCAGGGCCCTGGTCATGGCCAATAACAAATGTGGATATCTTTGACTTGTAAATTTGTTTCTCTGCTGGGTTTTAATTGCCTACATCAGCGTGTGGTTTGGATTTGCATTAGCCATGACCATCAGTCTGACAATCCAAGCATATATGCTATAAGCGGGCAGGAGATGAATCTGAGGAATTTGAGGTGGGGTGAAGAGACGGGACAAATGAACAGTACCTGCAGGGGTGAAGGTGAAGGACTGAACTGCAAAACAAGAAGACAGAGAAGTTGCGCGTTAAAAGCCTGCAGAGATAAGCGGTGCTTGAGGGGTATCTGCACACCGGGGACGGGGTCGGGCCGAGGGGTCCTGAGGGTCAGAGAATGTAAGACCGCGTCGTCACCCAGTGTGCAGAGCGTCAGCCAGGAAAGCAGCCAGCTCAGAGGCCACAGAGGTGTAGAGACGGTGGCACAAACCAAAGAAAACACACACATGTAACAAACAGAAATGACGACCAAATAAACCAAGCCAGCTTATAGCAGTTGCCACTGCACTTTGACCTGCTCAAAGCAATTTAAAAATTGGCTACATAAAAAATGTGCTTCTCTTGGATTTCTGCTTGTTAATAAGAGAAGAACTAATGTTAGAATATTGTGCAGCACAAACAAAAATACACACAGAATAATGTCAGTTCATTACCATTTTCTACTCCTTAATTAAATTTTGTACCCTTGGCAGTGCATGCGGACCTGGTGGTTGCTGGTATTGACTGGGGGTCACTCAGTAAGATGTCAGGGTCAGTGTGTGGGAGGAGAGCTGGACGAACTCCAGCTTCAGTGACCAGCAGAGAGTCCAGTCTGCCCACTCAGCTCGACCACCCTGGGCTATTAACTAACACCGTGGGTGGATTTGTCAAAAACTGTAGCCCTCTGGATATGATTCATGCTGACATCCGTCTCCCTGTTGATGCTTTCAACACGGTAGCCATCTGAACCCTACTGCTATAATATTTCATCAAAACTGTACTGATTAGGACTGTCAGATGATTATGCGGTGGTAAATTATTCTTGCTTTGATAGAGAAGAAAATAATTGTTTGTGGAGCGGTAAAAGGATTATCCACTGTTTGCTAAGGCACAAGAGCAGAATGTCAGTGTTGATTTGCATCGGTGCTTATGACCAGTCTAACCTGCGTAGTTGCTCAGGCCCTTTCTCTTCTTTCTCCTCCAGTAGAGCCAAATGCTGAAGCCCATGAGGATGACCCAGCAGGCACCTCCAATACCGGCGATGAAAGCAGGCTGCTTCACCACATCAGTGATCTGCTCTGTGATGCTGTTGTTCCGGTTTCCATGTATGATCACGTCCCGGAACTCCTTACCTGAGGGCACGGGGAAAAACAGGCAACCTTAATGTGATGCTAGGTGGGTAGTTACCGAAGTGAAACGGGGAATAACAACGCTGCAGTGCATGATTTGCTGCTTCAAGGTGAAAGTTAACACAGTTGCCCATGTAATACTGAAGGACCTGGGAATGTTCAACTTTTTCACTTCATAGAAAAAAAACAAAAAAAAACACCTATAGATACATCAAGCCAGGGTTAGGTCTAGATTAAGCTCAAAGAAAGTAGGTCTGATGAATTCCAGCTGAGATATTGACCAAGGAAGCAGGACATGGATCTAAAGGATGTGCAGTGAAATATAATGTGCAGACTGAAAAAGACAAAGCCTAAAAGCTTATAACAAACCCCCAGGTGAGCAGGTTGTTTGCTTAGCTCAGCCCCTAATTCACTCCATTGCCGGTAAAAAACACCATGTGAAATGAGAGGAGAGGATCCTGGTCTGTATTGATCTCCAATCGCAGCTCACCCTGACTAGTCTGCTTGACACTATTTCTTGAAGCATGATAAGACGCAGAGCACAAAGCAAATCTTCCCACACATCACACAGGAACAAGCACACACTCATAAAGATAAAAACACAAGTATATGTACATGCATGCACAGCTGCACAAAAGCTCTTCATCTTCATATTACTGTGTAACCACATGAACACACACGCCCATTCACACATCCACAGACTTGCAAACACACAACATATCATAAGTGCAAGGCAAGCTTAGGGCTCTGCTCTGGGAGATGGATTGTGTGAGTGACACTGGGGAAATAAGAACATGCTACAGGCCAAGCCATCAGTTATGGGTCAAATCAGGCACAATCTGCCTCAGCTCCACATAAATCATACGTGGTCAGGCCACATTTCAAAATAGTAGTATGTTAACAATATTATCTATTATCTGCAATTCCAAGTGTTTAATGATAATATTCAGACTTTTTGCTCTTCTGCTGAAATATGGGATGTTGTTTTTCTTTTAGTGAACACACGATATTGAAAAAGTTGTGAATGCTTTTAATCAATGAGTCTTACCGATTATAATAGACTGAGGATCACTCTTGACTCCGACCCCTGCACTTGTGCTGGCAGCCACTTCCACTCGATACACCACTCCCACCTGCAGCCCGCCCACCACCACAGAGCGTATGGCTGCATCCACTGTCTTATTTACATGGAAACGTGTCTCATTCCCTAGACACCAGATCTAAAGGGGGGGGGGGGGGGGGGGGGGGGGGGGGGGGGGAGACACACACACAGAGAGGCGGTTGATTCCAATTGGCTTTGTATGAGTTAAATGAGAATTCATGCTGACTTGCTGGGACAAACCTTGTATTCTTGGATGATGCCGTTCTGGTGGTCTGATGGAGGGGGGTCCCAGGAGATGCTAATGGAAGTGCTGTTCTGGTTTCCCACGGTCAGGACTGTTACCTGCTGAGGAGGGGCACTGGGAGCTAAAAGAGGAAGCACAAAATAACCAGGTCAACACTCAAATGTGCTATTTTGCAGTTCAGGCAGCAGGGTATTTAATTCTTAGGTAAAAAGAGCGCTGGCATACACAGTGGAATTGTACATCTGAATGTGTCTGAACAGCAGCTCAGAAATATGCACATACCAAGAATCGGACACACACAGGCACACACACACACACACACACACACACACTTTTCCAAGGAATGTTATTCTTCAGGGATGGCACAGGTGGCTGAAGGCTGTCAAGATGTCTCATTAGAGGGGGATTTACATGAAGACCAGCGTAGGCCTGACATTGCTATAGCCTATCTTTAACATTTCACTATGATTTAATATCTCATCCTCTGCCCCAGCCTGGTGGATTTGCACTGAGAATACTGGTATTGATTTTTGGAATGACGTCTTGGCAGAGTCAGGCGAGAGCTCACAATGAAGCTAAGACTCAAGATTTGACCAAGCCAGGGTGGCATGTGGGTCAACGAGCTTATAGGATGAGGCGCAGACAAGAATGAAATATGAAAGAAAAAAAAAAAAAACAATTTAAGGGAAGGAAACAAGGTATCAGTAAACATATTGACTGATTCTATCGATCAGTCAGATGAAACTAAAGCCACTAGGTAAGGATCAGAGCAAAGCTTCAGAGTGAGTCACATCTAAATGAACCGGCTCTATCCACAGGCTGACAGAGAGTGGATAAAAACAAGACAGGTCCAAGCTTTCATAAACCTCACTCTGTTGTTATTCTGATGGCGACAATCTTCTGACCCCACAAGGGGTAACAGAGGAAAAATAAATAACAGTTGGACCAACTGGAAATAACGTTTTAAAAATAATGTTTTCTCATTTCCGCAGTGGCTGGCAGGGGAGCGGCACCACAGCAGAATACTGACAGGTCAATTACTCCTGAGCTGCCTCTCCCTCACCTTGCCTCCATCCAAAATGGCACGTGTCACCCTGTAAATCTGTGCTCATCCCTCAGCGCGATTGGCCACACAGGCCCCCAGAGAGCCAGAAGGCCCTGGCATGGTGGAAGATAAATGTGTCCAATGATGAACCCAACACCTTGGCCAGATTAGAAACAATCTACCAAGGGAGCATCTGATCAGCCATCATGCTCAGGGCTCTCCAACGCTGAATTACATCCAGGTGACAAAGTGGTAGATTGGTGCGTGGCAGCCATCACAGACAATGTCGTTCAAAGTTAATGTTATGAATGATTTAGCAGCTTATTATCATGCATATTTGTGCTAAACAATACACATTTTTCATTAGAGTCCTCGGAGGCTGTGCTAATAGAGCCATTAGCGGAGTGATGTATGGCAGGCAAGAATGTGACCCCCTGTCTCTCACGCACACACACACTGCTGTGTTGCATGATGAAGGAATACAAACATAACATATCCACTCCAAAAAAAAAAAAAACAATGTCGATAGCTAATGTAAAACAGTGGTGTGGGTGGAAGGCTGCAGAAAGAGGTACCCATCAGCATGGATGCAGATTAGCCCACTACAAATGAACATTTATACAAACATTACTGATCTCCCTTGCACCTAAATAAGCATTATTTTGCATAAATAATGGGCTTCCTTGGTGACTTCTTAGACAATCATTCAGTGGTAATCAGATGGCAATTTGAGTTCATTTATCAGTCATGACAAGACAGTCCAGATGGAGAGTGAGAGAATGTGTGAAAAAGGAACAGGGAGACTACTAAAATGGAAACTGCATTTGAGTGCTGAGCATACTGTAACCCTGCATCCATCTGGGCCTGTTCTGGGGATTCTCTAATTGTGTTAGCTAATGGATAACCTAAGTTTAATCAACCCTCTGAACTAGACTTCTCTATCCATCTAGCTGCCCTTCTCAGTAGTCTCAAGGTCTCTGAGGAGCCTACAGCCATGTGTTTGACGGTGTATCAGCTATTTTGACAGAAATAGAAAGTGGCCGAGCTCTCTGAGGGACTGGGATGCAGATAGTGCAGAAGCAGGGAGTGTTATCAGCATTGGTAATAGCTGTGACATGCAGGTCGTGGAGGCCTTAGGGAGAGGAGGTGTGTTGGCATGTATGAGTTTACTGTATATATTTGCTAGTGTGAGAGTGTGTGTTGGGGACAGCTGTGATGGCAGTCCCACTACAGCAGTGAGTACACTGGCTGGCCACCAGAGATACGGTACCTTTGAGAAAGGGAAAATAAATGAGCCTGTCACGCCGACAGGATGTGAACTGTCTCCTATACATGCAGGCCTGAAAATGTTGTGGCAAGATGGGCTTTGTCTCTAGTATAAAGAATCTGTATTTGTCTTTTTAGTGCTGTAGTGGGACTGTGTGTCTTTACTTGAGATCACATCATCATTTTATTTCAGTTATAAGACCTGAAGGTTGAAGCGAGGCTGGTGCAATGCTATTGCATGCATTTCTGTTTTGGCATAGGTCAAAACAGTAAATTCATCCAAACACAGACCTGTGTGTGTGTGTGTGTGTGTGTGTGTCTGTGTGATAATGTGCCACACTGCTCTGTGGCCTTGTCAGAGCCTGTATGAATCAAGCTTTGGGCGACAGATCCTCTTCGCAGGAGGAAGTGTGTGTTGTGTCCAATCACAGCTCAGGCCTGTGGCTACCGGGTGATGGATTAGAAGAAGGTTGGCACTAACATCACCAATCATAAACAAAAAAGCACAGCAGGAAGGTCAGTCAGACAGGCACAAACATCCACGCACATACACATTCATTCTCACATATACCCTCAGTTCTCAGTATCAAAGGGAGGGGCAGTAGCCCCTGTGATATTATGACAAAAACCAACATGAAAGCAGCCAATTGGGTCATGTGTCACCCATCGTCCCACATTTGTGTGGACACACCACAGTTTGACTCACTATGTTTTATTGCTCCTGATATAATCTACAAATACTCAGCAATTTCTCCGTCTTCATACCTTCCTCAGTTGTCCGTGCCGTCCTGGATTCACTGTCCATGCCTTGAAACTCGTTGAAATAAGGCCGGACCTTGATCTCATACACAATTCCCTTCTTGAGTGCAGAGAGGATGACACTGCGCTCAGAGGGGACCTTCACATCCTGGGTCTGCCAAGGTCCTGGTGAAGGCAGTCCAGATGTCTGCCTGTACAGAACTCTGTAACCCTGGATGAACTGGGACTGACGATCCACCTGAGAAAGTGAACGAAGACAAGATTACTGCTGTATTTCAGTGCACAAAGAACTGTGCAGAGGAGATCGGTGGATATTATCCAGGCCAGCCACTAGATAATGCAAAAGGATGTTTTTATGCAATGTGCTTTTTTCCTCACAGGATTACATGCATGACACTTAAGAGGCTGTTACTCGTTTAATGGCCCTTTTATCACCAGCTATGACACATTTAGCTCAATTAACACCCTGACATTACCTCATATACACAGCTGCCAGCCCAAAGTGTTCCCCCTTCCATTAAAAAGACTTTCTGTAATGCCACCTTAAAGGACATATGCATAGCTCACATGTATTATACTGTAAATAGTAGCTGGTATCACTGGAAAGCAGGTCCCACCGCATTTAATGTGGGTTGTGAGTATGAGAATGTTCTGCAGCAGCAAATGCAGACACCCTGGGGACACGAGGAGGATACACAGCAGAGGTGATAACGGAAGATCTGTCCCATAGAAAAGACGGAGAGACTGGAAGTGTGATAGCCCCCTGCAACCCACAAAGGACCCCTCCCTTAAAACTTGGGCCCATTTAGCTAGACAGAAAAAGCTGAATTTATGCAGAGGAAAAGTGGGAGCATAACTCATTGTAATGGCTTGTTAACAGTAGAAGAAGTGAGCAGGGCTTTCAAGTGGGATATTAAGCAGCTGTTTTTCGCCAGTGTAGCCGGAGTAAATCAGCAAAATGGATTCCCTGCTTGGTGCGTGACTTTTATTAATGGGATGATTTGGGAATATAAAAGCTCTCTGAGAGTGGCCCCTCTGTTTACTGAAAGGGCCCCTGATTGATTAGGTAGCCATGTTTTGTGTTGATTGTACATTACAATCATAGAGCAATGCCTTAGCATTAAATTAGCCACCAAGTCTTGGGGTGAGACTTATTATAGGGGTCAATAAACATGTCTTCAGGAAAACTGCTAATGTGGTTCATTTGAAAATGGAAACAGGCACCCCATGCCACAAAGTGAAGGGTGTATACTGTAAATACCTGCACCTGAGTGATTTATAGCACCACAATCAGAATAAAGCAGCACATATTCTATATGAACACTTCACATTTGAAGAATATAAACAGCTTTTTTGTCCTCATTACCATACAATTACATTAACAAAGAAAGATTTTAGTCGAGGCTGAGGCTGCACATTTTTCACATTTAATGAAACTGTCTAACATTGCTGACTCTTGTGGAGAGGCAAACATCACAATATGTGCACATGTATGATGGAAGATCAGATGTGTGTTTGTGTTTGTCTTGTTTCCATGTAAGTGTAAATCTCAAGGTGGTAGGAAAACAGGGAAACTCACATTCACAAAATGCAGTTCACCTACAAACATTAATTTCAATCCATTTTTATCTGTGCAATGTCTGTTTTAGGAAGGAAGCAGCTGACAACATATGGAAGATTGATGAACAACCAGATGTCTCTGGCATGTCTTTTTATGTTCACTGCGGTTAAGAGAAACCATTTTCAGCTATTTGATGTTCAGTTACTTTTAAGTCGCCAATTACAATATTTCAAAGCTTCAGGGGATGACCTGACTAAAATTTCCTGACATAAAACAAATGGTGGCCTCAAGGAGCACCTTCTTGGCTTCAAAGAGGGATCTTCTGTCAACTATCTTGACTTTATGACTCAATTTTGCAAAATCAAAGATGTAAAAGAATGCAGGGAGATAAGAAAACCACAGACAAACCGACTGATTTCATACATCTACTGTAATTTCTTCCAATGTAAAGACTCGAGCTGAACAAATAACAATGATGGACTTCCTCAAAGTGTAGCGTGAGTTAAATATAGCTGTATTCTGTACGCAAAATGACAAACTGCACTTACCGTCCATGTGACCTGAATGGTTGTGGGACTCAGGACGACTGGGTTGTGCAACCGAACTATGACCTCACCAAGCTCCTTCTGTACGTGCCTGTGGTCGACACCCTGAGCTGGAGGACTTATATCTATGAGAGAGCAAGAATAAAAAATATGAGAGAAAGAGAAAGAGAGAAAGAGAGAAAAAGAGAGAGAGAGAGAGAGAGAGAGAGAGAGAGAGAGGCAGGCCCCAAAAGAAAATAAAACGTTTTCCACTCTCTTCCACTTGGTTTTCACAGAGTTCACTCAGTTCTTCATTTGAAAAAGAGCAACCTCATCTGCATTAAAATGACCTCTTTCCATTTTGTATCAGCTCACTTGTCTGGTTTGGAAAAAAGAAAGAGAGTCTTGGGCTGACAAAAGTTTTTTAGATGTGTGACTTGTCTGTGCTTACTGGGACCCGACTGAACAAGCACATCAACGAATGAGCGCAACCCCCAGACACATTGGATGCAAGATGGACATTATGACACTATTTTCCAGCTCATTTCCCATTTTGCACATACATTTGTTTCATGTTACAAGCAATAAAAAAAAATAAAAAAAATCCAGAGTATGAGATACTGAGTGTGGTTGAAGAAAGCCACAATTTGAGTTAAGAAAGAAAAAAATGTGCAAGAGGAAATTATATAAAAAAAAAAAAATAAAAAAAATAAAAAAAAACCCTTTATTGAGGCAACCCAACACAGTCATGAATCACAGGCCACACTAATGGGGCAAGACAGGCCAAACACAGTTAGGAAGAAGTGAAAAATCAATTTGTCATCAATGCATGCCGTTGTCAATAAACATGTCTATATATCATCTCAGGACCTTCACCTCAGCATGAGAGAGAGACACTGCAACACAAACTGACTCCATTTATATTTACTTTTTTATTTTTTTAACACACTCCTGGCTTGCATTTGACAGTCGCTTTTTATCTTTTTTTTTGCTTGGGACTTGTCATATCAGTGTGATCCGGAGACTGTGGTTTGTCCGGTACCTTAATCAAATCATCTTTGGGTTTGGAAGCAGTCATTTTCTCCTGTTATGATCATTAACATAGCAGGGATAGCACTAACTCAGTTAGGCCCTCCAAAAGTAGACATGGTTATTTTACATAATTGCTTAAGTGTAGCCTTAATGAGCTGGCCTGAGATGGAGAATCTGACCTCTGGAAAATTCTGCAGTGTTTCAGTAGAGCTATTCTCTGCAGATTGCTGAGAGGGGCTGATAAGTATCACACTTTGAGGAGGTGCACAGTGACCTTACCCTGTCAGTCGAAACAGAAATTATACCCAGCATAAAAGAAAACCACATACCAACAGTGAAAGTGATTATGACAGGTTCTGAAATAACCGTACGTGTATTCAATAAACAGTGTCAATGTGAAGACATTCTTTTCATATTAACGTAAATGTAGGTTACCTTGTGTTCTGACAGGATCAGACATGGGGCTTGGATCACTCAGGCCCTGGCTGTTGACTGCTCGGACCATGAACAGGTAGATGGTGTTGGGGCGAAGACCTTTGACAGTAAACTGGGTGGTTTTGACGTGATCTGCTACTGTCTGCCAGCTGTTGCTCACGGATTGACTGTAATCAAAGAGAAGAAGATTATTGCACAATGCTTTCCTACGACATTTAGTAGGTACCATGTAGTAAATGCAAAATGAATTAAAATTGAATACAAAGAAGATAAGAGAGAAACATCACATCCAAAACATACCAAGGCTACTGACTGCAGTGAGGGAGGGGTGGGAGTTACTGCTTTAGCATACCTGAAAGCTTCAATGACAAAGGAGGAGACAGGCGATGCTCCAGCCATCCCAGGCTGCCAGGACAAGGACACACTGTTCTTGGTGACATCAGTGACCTGAGGTTTAGATGGAGGGCCTGGAAGCTCATTCTCATCATGGGTCTTCATGACCATCACCCCACCTGATTCTGAATGGATGGAGAGAAGGAGACGGAAAAAAGCCATATTGATCAATTAAAACTCTTGGTGACAAGTTTAAAAACATGTTGTTGTCTTTTTTCCCCTGTACATAAAATACAAGGAATCATTACACCATCTTGTACCTTTGACTTCCAAGAAAGCACTCCATGATGTTTCACCGCTGGAGCTGGTAGCTACACATGTGTAGATCCCAGAGTCTGAAAGCTGATACACAGTAAAATACACATGCATATATGAATGAAAAGAAATGCACAGACATACAAACAGCTTAATGACTCTGCTACTCACACTTTTAGTGAAAGGACCATTTCATTTCACACATTCCAAGAGCAGGAGCAGTGACAGAATACATGTGATCTTTCTATTGCTCCAACACTTAAAAGTGATGGGGCGACTTCACGAGCTGGCCTTGTGCTGGCTAAATTGTGTGTCATATGTGAGTGCCTCAAAGTGCTGACACTAATTTCCTAATGAATTCTATTTTCTACTCACCACCCTTCCATCACTTTTCTACTCCCCCTCCTTATTTCTCCACTGTCCTGCCGACCACAACAAAGGCAGGCTAATTAATTTAGGGTGGTCTGCTGGAACCCCCTGGACCGATGACAGCTGGCTTGACTCTCCATCCCTCTTAGGAACTTTGGTTGTTTGTTGGTTTTTGTCCCTGTGCCTTCCTTCCATTTATTAAATAACATGTCAGTGGTCGGCAGCTTTGTCAAACGTAATAGATATTCCACTGAGGCCTCAGAGTGCGGAAAAGAAGATGTGAGCCTTTTAAATTTAATTTAGTCTGAACGTGTATGTGTGCACACACATGTGTATATATCTCTAAGTGCATACATGTTTCTGTCCAACAGCTGGAGTCCATCCAACCCTGCACAGCTGAGCCCAGTTGGAGCTGCCATGCCACTAAGTGATACTATCAAACAATTAAAAAAAATCAATCAATGCTGCCAATTCATCTCTTTAAAGCATGATGTATGATAAACATCTTAAATCAAGATACATACTGGCCAGTAACAACTTTGAAAAAATGGAGTGGTAATTAACAACTGAAGCAAAGAAAAAAAAAAAAGGGACCAAGAGACCAATGAAATCCTTTACCTTAACGTTTTTGATCTGCAGGCTCCCCAGCTCCTGCAGAGACATGCGGGGGTCCTTTCCCAGCAGACTGACCCCATCCTTCAACCAGCTGATGGAGGGGATGGGGTCTCCCGATGCCTGGCACTTCAGCAGTGCCACACTGTCCACCCCGAGTGTCTGATTGGACGGGCCTTGGCGAATAATTGGTGGTGGTCTGTCTGTGAGCACTGTGGAACAAAGACAGAAATGTGAACACATCCGTGTCACTCTGGAGTTCAGACAGATGATGGTGTTCCAATTAAGCGCCCAACTATAAAGTAAACTGGGTTTCAGCACTGATCATAAAATGCACTGGGGGTGGATGTGGGTATCTATCATAAAGTAGACTATTTTCTCTGCAGGTCTTGTAATTGCACCACAGAACAATGACCATATCCTGTATTTCCAGGAAGCAGGAAAAGAACAGCTGAGTAGTGTTTTCTAGTTTCATTGATGTGGCAGAGGGATGCTAAGCAGTTTCCAGTTACTGCCTGGGTAGCCTTATTTTTATACACTACTCTAGACTCTGTGGTTCAGTTTGGCGGTGAGGCTCTGGCCTATTGACTCAGTGCGGTTTAGATAAATACTTCATTATGTGCAATGTGGGGCACAATAAAAGGTGAAACTCAAATACTATGAGTAACTGAAAACACCTCATGATACTCATATGAGGTGTAAACAGAGTGAAGAATACCATCTAAATCTTAACATCAAATAATCAGAGAAGACAACCTTTTAATATTTTGTTCTAGTTTCAAGCTAATGCTATGATGAATTTCATTTACATGAGCAAATTCATTTGTTATAATGTGCCAAAAAAAAAAAAAAAAAGCCTGTGGGTTCCCTCTATGAAATAGTGGGTATGTCAGAGGTGATCTCAGAGAGCGAGCTGGTACTCTAGCACACTAGGCAGTTTATATATTTAGAGTTGAATAATGTGGAGTCCCCCTGGCATCACAGAACCCACATTAATTAGAAGTTATGGATTAATGATGTCAGACCTGCAGGGGCTAATTACCAAGTCTACCTCCGTAACCTTTCAACACATTATCACACCCTCGATTCCACCCCTATTTTCTCTCTAGCAGCTACATCTGACAAAAGGAATTGATTTCGAGAAATGCACTTATGCCGTGTTATGGTCAGCCCTTGCTTTGGGTCAGCTAAGAAAGAGAGAGACAAACTGCGCAGAAACCTGATATATTATCTACCACTCGCCAACTGTAGCACATCATTTTCAATAATGGCATTTCACTTAATTTTTTTACTCTCCTGTAATGTTTATATTAGGGCACATTCAATTGTATGAATCAAAAGAGATAATGTAAATCATAAACTAAGCCAAGACAGGATTTAAAGCACCTGCTACGAGCCAGCGGTTCACTATGCTGGAGTTTATCTTATCTCATAATCACACCCGGGAAGTTTTCTGTCTGCCTCTGCTTTCACCTTAAGATTTAACATTATAAGCCGGAATGAAGCCTTTTGTTTCACAGCTAAAGGGCCTCAATCATGATGTGAATCCATGTTTGTTAATAGATGCTTTAACTGATGACTCTGATGCTTTCCTTATTAAAAGAAGACAGTGAGCTGGTTTTGACAGATGCAAGTGCACAAGCAGAACACACTGCCTGGTCCTCGGACGTGATGTGTCTGATGTATGTGTCGAAAGGCATGTAGGAGTGACAGAGGGAGGAGGCACGGCTCGACCGAAGCCTTAGGTCTCTGGATCAGGAATTTCTCATTACAGATCTCCTTGAACTCCACAGACTGTTGTCAGAGCTCGGGGCAGTAAATCACATAAAGACTGCAGCAGGTGTGGCCATGACCTCTCCCTGGCCCTCCTGTACTCTTTCCTCCTCTCCCTATTTTTCTCTTAGACGTACCCAACACCCGTCTCGCTAACATGTCTTTTGTTACACATTTTAACAGAAAGAAACCGACAGATTTGAATCCAAAAACATACAGTGAATATTCATAAGACAAATGAAAAGGTTAACTGTTGATGAGCCCGAGTGTACGGCTGTAAAATGTGATGGTGCATTATTCCAGGCATTTGAAGGACATGCCAATTTTGTTCCGGAATTTAACAAAATGTTGAAAATAGTAATCCTGCGGTGCTTTTAATCTTTCTGCTAGCAGGTACTTCAGTAGACATATGGACGGCCGTCGATCTTGACATCACAGCAGCTGAGCAGATCAGATGCTCCCACACCTCGCAGGACAACATAATTCATTCCACAGAAAAACACTGTCACTCACTCAATCATGTCCCCCCCCCCCCATCCCACCCCCCTTTATTCTCAGTGTCTCTCTCTGTTGCTGCCTCTCTCAAACACATACTTGCACCTCGCCCACTCATCCAACCACTGATCATTAAACTTGAAGGAACTCAAGGGCAATGCTTTATTTCCTTTCCAAAAGAAAAAGTAGAAAATTTTAATTAAATTTTGTCAGGTAAAAAAAAATAAGAAAAAAAAGAAACAAAGCCCATAGAGCAGAAACACAGCAACTGAAGGTCATGGGCATACTTGCATTTCTCAAGCCAAAGCTGAATCTGTCCGTACAGATGGAATAAAATAAAAATTTCATTTGTACTTGTGAACCTACTGAGTACTTTCAACAATGTTGAAGGCCATATGCCATCTAAATTCAACAAGGCAAGAGAGATGTTGCAGTTAAACCACGACAAACTAAACTCAGATGTCCTTAAAGTCAGTACAAAATAATTTATTTGTCTAAGTGAATGTGGGAGAGAATCAAACACGCGTAATGAACATACATCTGTGTTTATATGCACATATTCACCGGCTTCGCCACATTTGCAGTGGTGTTCAGTCATGTGCTAGTGTGCTGTAGTGTGCTGGCATGGAAGAAGTTACGCGTCAGTTTTCCCTCACCATCTGTGACCTCCAGTTGAGCCTTGGCGAGGATACTGCCTGCAACGGTCAGCGCCTGGCAGATATAGTAACCAGCATCTGCCCGCTGCACAGATGAGATGGTGAGGTCTCCGCTGGGCGACACCGAGAAGCGACTGTTGGGCTGCTGGGGTTGGTTGGGAAACAGCAAATTCTGCAGGAAGAGGAACAAACAGCCAATTAGTGAGACCGTGGAACCAGTACAACCTGGAAACATGACAAAACGCTCACACACACCCACACGCACACGCACACGACACCAAACTCACACACACTCACACACAGATCAGATTATCGCAGCTATAGTATGAACAATTTCATCTATTTCTTCGTTAACCAACCTCGCAAACTGCACAAGAAGTACAGAGTTTGACAATTTGGTTTCATACTTATTCTTGGGCCAAGCCAGAGGCTCCACTGTCTTATGAAGGCTACTTTTGCTCTTGTTGGCTTCATGACTACTTTCCTTTCTGCTTCAGTTCTACAGTGGTTTTGAGCTGCTCACTTACCCACAGGGACCACCGCACACAAGTTTAATTTATACTGAATATCATACAGTTTATCTTTAGAATATCTACAGTTAGCTAACCTTTTTTAATGCCATTTAAAATGGTCTCTTATTTTGCGTTTTAAAGTTTTTATGCTGCATTTCTTTCTTTTTCTAATGTTTTAATGCATTACGTTAAATGCTTTGAATTGCCTTCATGTACGAAATGTACTATACAAATAAACTTGCCTTCCCTAAAGAGGGAGGGATAATTAATTCCACATATTTCAGAGTAAATATGCAGGACCAGAAGACTGATGACACTGAAAAAAACATCACCTCTACTTCTTTGTTGATTAACTATTCTGCCACCTAATCCAGGGGCTTTCCTTTTTGTATTCCTTTTTCCTTATGATCCTCCCAAAGGTAACCAGCAAACACATTAGCTGGATTTAATTACACCTAATCACTTTAATTCAACAAATTATGTTGTTTTTTTTTAAATTAGGCTCTACGCATCTCCAGCACATGAGAGATGTATAGTCCATTATCCTCAAGAGTGAGAAAAAGCCCGTTCCGTCATTTAATTACTGTACTTAATTAGCTTTAATTTGCTCTCTCAACAAATGCCTTCACACTATACGTCAGTGCGGGTGAGGTCGGAGAGGGCACCGATAAACACAAGGACGAAAACAAGTACAGAGCTGGAGAAGGCGTGCAAAGGCTTGTAGAGAAGCGCATTCATTTCAAAAGCCTCATCTTTAAAGGACAATGTGAGACACACAGCGGATATAAATGTGAACAAGTTCCAAACATTACTCAGTATTAGTGAGTCATACTCTTTGGGTCACGCATTGGTAAGGGGCTAAGTGGGTGAGTATTACACTAAATGTTTGTGTGAACATGTAAGCATGTGTCTTACTAGTGTTCACTCTTTTCAGAGAACTTTACTGTAATTGTTGGCCTGCAGGCTGTGTGTGTGTGTGTGTTTGAACCTTAGCCAGAGCTGAATCATATCTCTGGCCCATCTACAAGCTCCAACAGGCTCCTAATTGGCACCGTTGTTGAGTGTTGTGAGGACACCCAGGTATTTGAATGGGTTATCTGCTTGAGTGAGGGATAGGATCGTTCTTATCAGCGCAGGGTCACGGGAAACCGATTAGCACTTTGCCAGGCACACTGTCGTTTGGCTGCTCCCGAGAACAAAGGTGTATCTGTGTGTCTGTTGTAAGTGTACTGATGACAGATAGTGTAGTTTCAAGTGCTGTGTGAATGTGTGTGTGTGAGTGTGTGTGCGTGTGTGTGTGTGTGTGTAGGGCAGGGGAATAACAAGCACTGAAACCATTGTGCATACAGTCAAAGGAAACCAAACAAAGTGCTGAGTGTTGATAACACTGGATGCACAGTAAATGATGAAACCTGCCCACTAAGAGAGCAATATATTTCCATGTGTAAGAAATAATGTGAAAAAGCAATAATAATAAAAAAAAAAGAAAAAAAGAAACTGTTCTCTACACCAAGGTTTTGGGAGATTGTTTGCTCTTACCTGACTTCCCTCCTTCTGCCAGAAGACTGCAGGCTGAGGGTTTCCTTTGGTTTCACACGGAAAGGTGGCGGTGCGGCCCTGAGCCACAATTTGGTCCCTTGGACGGATGACAAACTGGGGTGCGGCTAAAGTCAAAGGGCAAAAATACCAGTGTTAGTAGACCAGTGGCACACAGTGAGGCCAAACATCAAGGCTGGGGATTATCAGGGCTTGGGGATTTCAAGCAAAAACAAGCAATATACCACATGGTCAAATCAAAATGGGAGTGCTGTACAGAGCTTCCATGCAGCGTTATATCCGTCTTTTGCTCTCTAATGGCTCTGAACAGAGGGAGAACACCGATGACTATCATTTCCATGGTAACCAGGTTGGCCATTCATCCAGGTGAGGTTGAGGCTGAATGAATGACAGCCACATTGGCATTCACACGAGGAAGCGCCTCGGTCACAATGGCACTAAGATCTGAGACAGCACAAAGGCACACCCATGCCCCGGAAACATCCAACACTATGAACAGGTATAGACATACAGGGTTAATCACGTCTGACTTTCCTTATGTGAGATTTAGTCCGCATCGGAATGCATCTCGTAGAAAAGTCGAGATCTGAAGTGGCTCAGCACGTCTGATCAAAGTTGTATCAAAAGGGAGCGTGAGACAGAAATGACTATTTCTGTGTTTGCCACACTTCAAGCCAACACCTCTCCATCAAAGAGAGAGGAGCCTTGAAAGCTATCAAACTTTGAAATCCTGGTGTGAAGCTTTCTCAGTCAATATTCACGACTCCATCAGGAGCCAGACCAGTTGTCACACATTCATAGTCAGGACAGAGTGAGACATTTCTGACTGACAACTTGACAGATGCAGTTCAATAATAAAGAGAGGGGGGTGTGGAGATTAGATACAAGCTCTTTTGGTGTGCACTGTCGCCTCTCTTCGCTCCCTGACCAATCCCTGATGGTGAGTGAGGGAGGCGTGACTTCACAGCACACTGTCCTCACATTTCCACTTGTTCATTTATCATGATGATGAATCACAGTTCAAAGTTGGAATAATAATGGAATATATTGTTTCATTGCCCATAGCCAACTCTCATCCTCAAGTACAGTGTTGCATATAGGCTGCGTAGCTTCCAGCGTAACAGCAAAATACGACTTACCATTCTTCATTTTCTATCTTGATGAACCACCAGTAACCTGTGAAACAGCTATTGTATACAGCCATATGCTAATCATAAGTGCAACTACAGGGTATTACTACTATTGCAGCTGAAGAACTAGATCTCAGAAAATGTCTGAAGTTTGACCTGAGGTCATTTACTGCCAAAAAATTAAACAGTTCCTGCCATAACCTCAAGTAAGTGCAGATTATGGGTAGTAGAGGCTATTTTCATTTTCTTCAGATTGTTGTAAAATTGTATGACCGAAAAAATCTGAATTGTTGCAACGCAACATCTTGCACTCTTTCTGTTTATTTAGACTTCTTTGTAAGTCCTTCCACTGACAAGCCAGCTGGTTCCAGTAAGGCCAAACTCTTCCCATTTGGCTGGTTTCTCCATGTAATCCCTTTTCGGGGATGTGTATTTGTCAAAGATACACACAGTTGGGAATGGTACAGATGGCTACAGATTTACTGCCTTCCCGTTTGGCCTTGTGCAGCTCGGATATCTTGTGGCTCTCACAATGCTGGGCCTGATACAGAGCTCCTAAATCATGCTCTGGCAAGGACTCAGTTCCCTCCCTTCGCTTCCTCTGCTCTGTTTCATCCCACACACGGCACTACTAACTACTGACTAAAAATATGGTCTAACACCTTACAGAGTGGCCCCTTCCTTTCACTGTGCTGCCCGGCACTGTCCTTTCTCACACTCTCTTCATCAGTATTTCTTACTTTCCAATACCTCCATATTCATAATACCAAGTACTGTCAGACATAATGATGTTATGTGACTGTTCTTGAGGTTTTTTGAGGTTATTGGTTTTGGCTTGTATGGATGATTGCTTGTAGCCGGATGTCAAAAACAAAACTAAATGTTGTCCAGCTAGATTTCACCAAATTTAATAAAAGAAAGAAATCTATTATTGAATCATCTTTATTGCATCCAATAACTTAAGGAGGGTTTTTGTAACTGAGATGCTCTTTTTATTAATTAAGTAAATATGTTTCCTATTGTGCTTGACTGTTTGATCCACTGATTACAGGTCAAAACATCAATGGTACTGTTTAAGTAAAGTATGTGATGTGGTCATGTGATTAATACTGCAACATATCTCTCTCTCTCTTTTTTTTGACTTTATGTTTTCACTTATCTTTTCCTGGTGGCCTGAGATTAATCTTGGGGCTCATTCTATACCCGTGGCACTACCTTTAATCTTCCTTTCTGTCTTTTAAATTACATTAAAAAATGAATAAAATACATTTGGGAAATGCTGTTTGAGGGGGGTGGACCTAAAAAAAAAAAAAAGGAGAGGGAGGCCCACAGAGAAGCACAGATCAAAAACTCAAACAAATCAAGAGGAAGCCAGTGTGTGACAGTTTCACAGCCTGGCTCAGGGCAAACTCACACTGGTCCTGTTTTGATTCAGAGACCTTTAATGACATGTGAGAGGCTCCTTCCTGTCCCCTCCTAAGGAAACACATGATCAGGCGCCCATATTTAATTCATGACAAGTCACATCTGCCTGGTTTGGAGAGGGCTCAGCATAAAACAGCAGTCAGGGTGAAAAGAACAAATGGACAGAGAGAAAGACATCCATTCAGTGCACCCAGACACACAAACTCAGAAGCATTTCTTCCTCACACGTTCAATCATATTTTATTCAGAAGTCGACAGCAATTACTGTCTCTTCCCACAGGCAGAGTTGAATGTGTAATTTCCTCCATCTTCTTGGAAGCTGACAGTTTGACAATCGTAGAACAGCCACTGCTGTTTTGGCAACCAAAGTCCTGCCACTGAGGCAGTGTCTGGGTTTTTCTGCCAGTCAAGCCTGTCTTTGACACACACTTCTGCCATTCTTTTCCTCTCCCTCCTTTGTCCTGCCTTATGTTTTTTGTTCCAGCATTTCTTTTCTTTCCCCTCTCAAAAAGCACACCTTTCTCTCCTTATACCCATTTCCACTCACCTCCTCTGACAATATACTACTTAAGTGTATCAGATTTGGTTTTGCCATAACCTTTTCCCTATCTATAGGGAAATTAAATCAGATTGCCCGCTCAGTGTTGTGGGGCTCAGAAGGATAGAAGCGCGTCCAAAACAAACAGATCTCAGTTTTGTCTTCCAAAAATCCACAGATGGCCTCAAGACTTGCAAGTTAAACACGTCCCGGACCATATGAGATGACAATGTCTGAGACTATCAGACTGCCAGCCCACTCACTCATTGTAAAGGACAGGGTCTAGAGTCTAAAGAGCCTTCAGTTTGAGTCACTACACTTGTTAAATCTGTGCCATAGCACGTTCAAACCTACACAAGTTCCATCAGCTGCAGGTTGAGATCAAGTGTAAGTGATAAAAATACAAACCTACAAAATAAGAAAAAACTTGGCAAAGACGTTATTTGGCATATTTTGTGCCTTCTGTTTACATTGTGAAGTTTAAAGACTCAAGGATCTGCAAAGTGATGCTTTCTTAATTTAAATAAAAGTGCTTTAACATGATAAAATTGTGTTGAAGTTGATACAGAGAAATTCTAATTATAAAGTTTTATTGCTGTCACATCAAACAAAACAGTTTATGTATATAATTGATTAAGTTCAAAACAGATATGGATACTAAGCACAAATCAACAGACAGACCTTGTGTAATAGTGTTTTTTTTGTGTTCGTGATCAAGGTAGAAATATAAGTCTCAAAAAACTATAAATACAATTTACAAACAATAATTCTAAGGGCAGACAATGTGATGTAACACCCGTGTTGCAGTCATTTTAAAGCAATGGTAATTGATTGTCAAGCAGTCAGGTGCAGTAGTGTGTATGGAGAGGGCATGCAGGATGGGATCAAATCAGAGGGATGGGTACTTACCGACAGGGCGAGCTGGAGACACAACAATGGAAGAGTGGATACACAAAAGAAACAAATTAAGACACACACACAAACACATAAAACGAACAGAACAAACATAAATAAAATAAGACAAAAAGAAATCAAAGTCAGAACGAATGACATGTTGTGTTGGGGCCAACACATTTCTGGCACAGGGAAAAATGACAGAGAGGATCCAGTAGCTTTTGTCCACTGGAGAGTTTTTTTTTTTTTTTGATAAGCTCAAAGTGTCTCTGTCTTAGACCTGAATGATTGAGGTGTTCGGGAATGTGCGCCCACTGGTGGTCAACAATGTTGAATTGCATTCAATTCCCTGTGGGGGCAGACACTTCTGCTCTTCAGAGACAAATATACTACTGGATCTTCACTGCTCGCATTAATGAAATCTACAATTCTACAGGTGGTGTGTGTTTATAATAGCAAGGCGAGGGTGTGTTTATAACTAGTGCTGATGGACAGGGCAGAAAAAAGACAGCGAGAGGAAGAAAGAGAGAGAAAAAAAAGATTCCAAGGACTATGTGAAGACAGCGTGTGGGTTAAATCCAGAGACTGGGGCTTCTGAAACCCCCACACTCTGTCCAGAGGAGCTGATGCAGGTGGTTCTTCAAAACACAATAGACTGCATGTGTTACTGTGTTACTGTAAGCGTCTTCACTGTCAAATAAAGCACAAAGATGCTACTTAAAAAAACAGCTTCCAAAAGGGGTATAAAAGAGAAATCAAGCCAGACTTTGTTTTATCTCCCTCTGGCCCCCTGTGTCGCTCTAAAGCGCTCCACTGGGACCTTAAACACTTGGGTTTAATGGGAAGAAGAGCTGTGAGAGGGAAGAGGGAAAATTATGGTTAGAATGTTTTTATTAACCTTGCAAACCCCAGGTGTGGGACTGGCGGTGTGCACCAGTAATCTGTGAAATGGCTTTGCTGACTTTGTGGTTACAGTGTGGAGGGTTAGCGTGGCTAGCGGACCACCACAACAGGGGGGTGGGGGGGGGGGCGTCAGAGTGGGTCGACGGTGCACTTGGAAATGTAAATAATTAAACAGATTCATAGACTGTCTACATCTCTCTTGGCTATGGGAGTCAGCATTCTGGATTTCCATTTGTGTAAAGGAGACCCTATGGAGTAAACTGCCAATCTAAATTTCATATGGGTTTATAAGCGCAATAACCTCAATGGTCCGTCACTTCTCTAAGTGTTGTTATGTGCGAGCTAATGTGAAAGAAATAACAGAGAACGAAGGAGTTTTGTACCTCTGACTGTGAGTGTGGCAGAGGCCTCCAGCTTTCCCACACGGTTCTCTGCCACACAGGTGAACATGCCCTCGTCGTTAATGGACGCCTTCTTCACTTTCAGCACATAGTCGTCCTTGTCATACTTGATCTCATACCTGTCAACAAAGATATCATATCATGAAATTCAAGTCGCCCATTCAGCTTCAAATGCAAACACTACAACTTCAGATAAAACATTAATCCAGCGAACAAATAAGACATGCTTCAGTATTTCAGCCATGAACTGTTGAATTGTCTGGCGGTTGCCGTGAAAAGTGTATTTCTTCTAGGAGAGGTAGACAGAAGTACAACTGTTCATTCTGACAAATGGAGATTGCAAGGAGGAGGATCAATTATTCAACAATGAGACACAGTACACACAGAGAGGTGTGCATTCGGTTGGAACCCACAGAACTCGTTCAATATTCATGAGATGTTTCTCTCTCTTTCTCTCTGTGTATATATATTTGTTTAAACCATATTCAGGGGTTTGTTTGTGTGAGTGTGTGCAAAACTGTTCCTTTGTGCGTCTACTATATGCGCACAAATGTACGTTTGCAATGAATCTATACAGAGCGACACCTTGTTATTACAAGGCATTTTAACTGACTGAATCAATACAGCAGCTACACTAAAGTGACGTTGGCCTTGATTTCAATTCCACTGCAGTTGTGAAATGTCTGTGTCTCTGTGTGTTTGCAGATGGTTGTATGTGTGTGTCTAGACCTGTATGAATTGTATGGCAGGTGAGGGGGAGGGTGATGCTGCTCTGGTTTGTGGTTCCGGTCTGTAATTGAAGGGGTTGCTGGCCTGGCAGTGTGTGGTGGCAGAGGCGGTGGGGCTGCGTGATGGTGGTCTGTCAGCCTGACAACCTGTCTGCTGTCCACAGTCTGTCACTCACAGACACCGAGAACATAGTTGAGATGAGCAGATAAAAAGGGCCACTCCATTTGAGCTTGACACTACGCTGCCCCTTTAAATCCCCACTGTAACACTGTAAATATTTTACACGATTACGGAAGATGTTAAATTATTAGTTTGTATTGGTGGGACTGGTGCAGTGTATGTGTTGGATGTATGCACTGCAGTCCGCCACAGGGTCATTTTTGATCGAACCAAATGGAATCCCCCGAGTCAAAATTTTTCAAACTCACACGAGGGCTTTGAAGAAAAGGCAAGACCATTATATCATCTTTTTATTATAACGTATGCCTCTGTGCCAAAAAACTCCACACTTGTAGTAAAACAACTATTATAAACACATAAAAGAACCATGAGCAGTGATATCTGCCCAACACAGAGCTAGCCCCCCTCAGAGATTGAAAACGCAGTCACAGAATGGTTTCAGAACAAACTACACTGGCCATGTTCATTGTAATGAAGACACCCAGCACAACACTATGTGTGTTTAATAGCTTCTGGATGACCTAAAGGGACAAGCTATATTAAGCTTTGGCTCCGGAGATATTCAGAAAAAGATAAGGATTCATAAAAAGATGTATTATACTTATTATACTCGTCTACATAATATAAAAGTGTTTACTTTGAATAATACATTACACAGATGTGTCAATAAACTATGGTTTACAGCAATACTTTCTGAAGTGACTTTAGAGTAACAGTATGCTATGGTCCATTTCCCTCGGAAAGACCCCTCTGCTCGACCATCAGGTGTATTGATGGCTGCTTGCCACTGGCAGCTGCAAAACTAATCTGTCCTGTCTATCCATGTCTTATTTTTTTCGTCTGCTGTTATGACATTTCCTGAGCAAGCATTCAAAGGCAGCTTTATTGAAGCACATTCCTCAACTCTGACTGCCAGTTCCACCTCTCCACACAGGTACTTAAGGAGCCATAATGATTATTTGACTGAGTCATGACTGAATGCTTTGTTCTACAGAGAGGGGATGTACAGTTCAGGTAATGGTAGGGGACGTGAATAAAGCATTTATTGTTGACTCTGAGTGAGTGGCATCCAAAGGAATGAGGCAGCACCTTTTGGGACAAGCCTGCTGTCAGATGAAAAACAAACAAGCTAATAGGAAGAGCATCCTCATACACCCTGCCCTCCGGCTAGGATGGGTAGCACAACATGAACTCCTGACTTGGAAGAGGAGAGAGAGATGAGCAAAAGAGCGACAGGGACAAGTTAGGGCTTCGGGAAAACACCTGAATCCCTACCAAACCATGATGAGATCAAGTGAGTAAGGAAATTGTTCCCAGTACTCTGAATCAACCCACGCTAACCAGCTCTGTGTAAACAAAGAAGACACTGAAGACACCCTTTTTTACAGGCCACTGTAGTTTTCCTGTTTTTTCACTCCAGTCTCAATCAAGAACTACATTTTAATGAGATACAGAAGCAGCACTCACACGATGCACAGCAGCCTTTCCATTAAAATATAGTAAAAAAAAAAGACTAAGCATTTACCGCTGTACAATTCTGTGAGGCTGTACTCATGTACAACAATGCTTTGGACTAAATGGTAACATGCTCATGTTAAGGACACAGAAGGTTTGCCATGTTTACCATTTCAGTGTAGCGTGTTAGCATGTTAACACTTGCTGATTAGCACTAAAGACAAAGTATAGCCATGGCTGATGGGTAATGTCATTAGTTTCAATGAGTATGAGTTTTCCAGGGTTTACCAAGGTCATTAGGATTCGCTCTCTCACTTTTCCCTCTCACGTCAACCTCATGATGTCACTAAAGACACAGCCAGAGGATGACAAAGTCAACAGGATTCATCCACTGGACTGATAATCAAAACATTGCAACTCCCGGGGGGTGGGGGATGGGGGATTTGATCTTTCACTTTATGACAAGAACAGGCATGAAAGCTACAGATATTGTCATCACTTATTGAAACGCCAACATTTCAACTGCGCGTACAGGTTCCCACAGCCTCCCATCGAGCCCTTGCACCTTGGAGAACCCACATATACACATATCGGACAACATGCTTATTGTTCTTGGTCTCGTCTCCATCAATCTCTCAAAACAGAACCTCAGGCTGGTCCATGACTTATTAGAGGGAAACATGAGCCCAGTCAATCTGTAATCAACTTCCTATATGGAATCAGCCTAGATGACAAGATGAGTGGAAATACTCAGGGATAAGAGGTAGTTGTGGCCACACACACATGCAAGTACACACAGCAAGGGAACAGTAGCTCTTTATTGCGACTGGATTGGGGTAGAGCTCTGTTCTCTATTAGAGGAGGAATGTAATTGCACATGTAGAAGGGCTGTGGAAAGGATGGAAGAGCCAAGTTCACCCTGCCGGACTCTCCCTCCCCTTTCAAACAGAAAAGGCACACTGTACACACACACACACCACACACACACACACACACACACACACACACACACACACACACACACATTCTCACAGAGAACAAAGTATACAATCATCCAACACATATCCACACATGTGCAGAGTCATTCACTAAAGCAGGGAGATGAGGAGTGATGGGAATGTAAGCAAATGCCAAGACAAAAAAGCAATTTTTTTCCCCTGGGTTGTCAACTTGATGTGTTAGCTGCACGTAGCTGGCTGTAACTGAGATGAAAACTTTATTGGACACACTTTAAAAGCATTACATCTCACAGATCATCTTAAAGGATTTGCCTTTAAACTGTCTATCAGGAACACAGTCGCCCGTGTTCCACCTTCAGACTTGTGCCAATGTACTCACATTAAGAGAATCTTATCTCATGGTTGTGTGTGTGTGTCTACACTTATCCACAAAATGACTAAACCTGAGAGGATCTTATCTGCCTCTCCTCTGTGTACATGGTGAATGGGGCCCGGCAGTAGACTGAAAGGGTGTGCACCACCACTCAGACTCAAGATACAGTAAAGGACTAATTCCAGCCCAGTCTCTAGCCTGACTGCCCTGACACAAAGTACCCTCTCTGCTCCATTTATTTCTGACAGTCTGATCCAGTTTTACACCATCTGACTGCTACTTTACCTCATCCTGATCAAAGGAGCTGGAGTCTACCTGTCCAGGCCTTGTCACCCATGAGAGGGAATCAATTAACTGCTATTGCTTCTCATCTTCCTTCTGTAAGGCCCTTAGCCAGAGCTGTGCTCCTTCTTGGCAGCCCTCATGGCTTAGCAGGGTCAGGGCCTTCCCAACAGTCCGACTGACATTCATCACCTTATCCAACATTAATCAAAGATCAGTGTGGCAAGATTTCAAACCCTGTGGCGGGGGGGGGGGGGGGGGGGGGGGGCAGATTGATCCTAAATTTGTCTTGTCCTCTACTCATCACCACAGCAACACTGGCAGCAGTGGAGTCTTTACTTAGTCAAACTGGTTTGGAGCAGATGGAACGGTTGCGCTGAAAAAACGCTGCAGATCGAGCGGGAAAAAAAGAAACGGCAAAGTGCAGCTCACTGACTGATTTGTGGAAGCGCAGTTTCTCTCTCAGTGCATTCGTGTGTATGTGTGTGTGAGGAACAAAGGATGCATAAACACTGAAAGCACTGAGAAAGTCAGAACTACAGTATTTTTTTGCAATGGTGCTTTCTTAGCAGTGAAGCAAGAAGAGGACTGTTTCTCTATTATTCCATAAAGGTGAATGAAAAGCTCTGATACATAATGAATGATCAACTGCACATTTCTAATTAATGCTAAATCGTATTTTCTATATTCCTGCATGATGTAGTTTTATACTGTTATGGATACAATCAGGGTCAATAAACCTCAAAGATAAAATATCCGCCCAACCATCCCGCTGCTGTTCCTCTCACCAGCGCCCTTACACATGCGCTCTCATAAATACCAGATGTATCCACTTATATATCAAGGGAAGTAATGGAGACAGGAACCGTAGCCTGCCGTCTTTTCATTCTGCTGAGTTGCGGAGGTGAGAAATCACTGAAACTGGATGGTCAGCATAACAAAGGCGCTGCTGTCACACTAGCTTTAACAGCTCTCTCAAATAGAATGACCCACACACCTCTATCATACACGAACCCACACATACACACGCACACGTGCACACGCCACAAAGGGATTGAGTGAGAAAGAGAAGCTTTTCTGCTGAATGTTGCAGGGGCTGTAGTGTGGAGGTCAACAGGGACAGGAGGGGAGGGGGGCTGCAAGACCAAAGGGGCTCTGATAAGGCACAGGAGAGGGCACAAGGGGCAAAGGAAAGCAAAGGAGGCGACAACTTGGGCTACACACACTGAGCTGGTAGGCAGTGGGAGATAACACACACACACACACACACTGCCTACAGTCTTTTCACTGGGATGCACAGACTTCCATTTGGAGACGAATCTCTCTCTCTCACTCCTCTCCTGGCTCTCTGATGTAGGAGAAGCTATCATGTAATTTCCTCAAGATTCCTCAGAGATGCTCAACAGACGGATATTAATCTGATACTGATACTGATATCTGACACTTTTACAAATAAGAAATTTGGTAAAAATTAAGTAAGCACAACTGAATATTGAGGACTTCAATTTTAGCCACATTGTGGAAGGGCTTTGTAGATACAGTATGTTCTGTAAGTCTGTCACAGTATTTTGAGATACATGCTGCTATCCAGCTGCTTTGAGACACATGCCAAAGATTTTCCCCAGGGAAGACACTATACTCCACCATCTGAATCTAATCATATGTATATTGGTAAAAAGAGTGAAGCCCTTTTGTGCTGGATGTATTTCTCTAGGGGAGGTTGGGTGATTTTAATATTACATGTGCTGGTCAGTGATTTTAATCCCGCCCCGGAGTGCATACATGTGATTTTTCTCCTCCTACCATAGCAATAATTAAAGCCCCAATTACCAACTGTTGTTCAGCACATTTATTGGTCCGCTCATAATTTAGGTCCTGTCCCATGAGACACCTTGTATTCTATTTCATTAGCTCAGCACACGGTTAGGAGTTCTGTGTGACAATGGAGAAAGTTGAAAAGGCTTTTGTGACCTGATGGAAACATGCAGTCCTATTCGGGAGCCCACATGATGAAGAAAAAAAAAAAAAAAAGGAAAGCCATTACAAGAGCAAGAACCTGCAAGCTCATAAAATGGGCTGATCTAATTTCAGCTACAGGTAATTATTCTGTCTTGGTTAGTCTGCCTTCCTATAACTAATTTCAAGTGTAGTGGACTACATGTATTTAACACTGTCACCTCACAGACTCCGGTCTTCTCCTTACAGGAAGGAATTCAATTTGAACTTGAGATCTTTGTCTCTATAAAAAAAAAACAGCTTCTGTAATTTGGCATTTCTTGAAATAAAGGCTAGAAAGAAGAGCCCCCCCCCCGGAATAGTAATCCTGTCCGAAGGAGAATTTCATTCATTCATTCATTTTCTACTGCTTATCCTCTAGTAGGGTCGCGGGGGGGCTGGAGCCTATCCCAGCATCCTTTCGGGCAAGAGGCGGGGTACACCCTGGACAGGTCGCCAGTCCATCGCAGGGCACACAGAGACAAACAACCATTCACTCTCACATTCATACCTATGGTCAATTTGGAGTAACCAATCAGCCTAGTCCCCATTTGCATGTCTTTGGACTGTGGGAGGAAGCCGGAGTACCCGGAGAGAACCCACACAAGCACGGGGAGAACATGCAAACTCCACACAGAAAGACCCCGCGTCCGAGCCGGGACTCGAACCCGGAACCTTCTTGTTGTGAGGCGACAGCGCTAACCACTGCACCACCGTGCCGCCCCGAAGGAGAATTTGTATAAACAAATTTGTATATACAAATAAAATTTAAGGTTAAGCACCGAATCATTAATTGCTATGCCCCATAATGTGCAATACAGAAAATATGAATGACAGTGCTTTACACAACTCTTATAAATAACCTGAATATTTTCAAAAATTAGAACATGGTCAAGAGTCAGTGTTTCCTTAACACACAGAGAAATATCTAAATCCCCAATCATAATTAATCCACCTATAGTAATAGTGCACCTGTTGTTCCTTGACATTTTAATTTACAGTTTCCAGGTGCACACTTTGACATGTGCCAGACTGTAATTTTAATGGTTTCACAGGGATATCTCCGGGGACTGCTCATCATAATGTATAGAGGAAAAATACGGAGCTGACCTACTTTATTACACTGCGGCACTAAAGCCAGTTGACAAGTGTCCCAGAGCAGATAAGCTTGTTTGGTGATAAGATTTTTACAAACACAGGAAAATACCCACAGTGAGGTAAAAAGAGCAGCGCTGTTGTCTTTGTCCTCTAAGTGAAACCATTCTTGTTCCTGTCTCTATCTCCTGTTCCCTCCCACTGAGACTGAAGCCAGTGCCATCCTGGCGTGCTTTATGTCTATGTGCCAACGTGTGCGTGTGTTTGCCTGGGAGGCTGCTGGAGCCACTGAGCATATTAAAGACCTGTTTACTCAGCTGAGGCTCCATTTCCCTTCTTCCTAGTATAAAAGTTGCACACACACAAACACCAACAGAAAGACACAGTGTGTGTAAAGGGACCTACAAAGACAAGTTGAAACAATTCGATGGCAAAGAAGGAATGGCCTCACTAAGTATCTTTCTTTCTACAGCTTACCATAATAATAAGGACAGTGTAACCTTTTCGGATAAAGAGCAAACAAAGACCAACCCCTTCTGCATATAGAAGTGTTTGATCTTCAGTCGTCTGTGCCTATGGAGAGGACCACTACTGATCCAGCTACAGAGGCCCACAGTGTAGTGACACAATAGCTGTGCTGCAGTGGCTGTTTTTTGTTTTCTTCCCCTTTCAGAGCACTTGCCAGTTTGATAACTGGAAGCTATTCTTGCGTGGGATTTCAAACAATTCCTCTGTCAGTCAGACAGTAGCCATGTTTGATGTTTATTAAGCGAGGATAAGAAGTAGAGAAAGCAGGAACAGATCGTCACTTAACAATATGAGGAGTCTTCTTTTTGGCACGCAACAAAGGCAGCAGAAAATGTCAGAATTAGAATATCGCAGTCCTCGTGCTTGCTTCCCGCTTCAAAGCAAAACTGGAGAATTAAATATAGCGAGGAAAACAAAAGTTCTCCCAACGTGATTAGAACCACTGTGATATTTATCGTTTATTAATTTTGGCAGTATCTTTTTCATGTGTTCCGTTCTTCTTCCATATCCAAATAAGGCTGAACTTCAAAGGGATGATACAGTTAGCAAGGACGCGGGCACATGACACTCATCCTACTCCATTATAAATCTGTTAATTAGTGTACAAAATGAACTCATTTCCAGAGCCAACTCCCTATCAAAGACATGAGTGAAACACTTTTATGTGTTTGCTTTGGCACAGCGCTCATGCCCCACTGCCCAGTGAACCAAATCCTTATCAGACACAAACAACCCGCCCACGCTCGGCTCTGCAGCTAGCCTTGAGAGATGTCAGGTCCGCTGAGTGTATGCTTTATGACGTGATCCAAGCCGTGTGTGACTGGCCTGCTGGCTGGGGACAGAGCGCTGGTCTCTTTGAAGTCCACTCCTGACAATGACACTGCTGTTGACTGCGACTCCTGTGACGCACGGTGAAGCAACAGGCTGACACACAGGACCCAACAAGAACAGTATCGCCATATCATTGGAGGCTTTTTTTTACAGGACATCAGACAGCATTCAGCTCGCAATGGAGCTAGCCTGCGTCTGTAAATTACCGACCTTTGTTGCTTTCTCTTACATCAGTCTCTGTTTTCGCCAGTATGAGTGTGTGCGTGTGTCGTGTCAGTGAGGGTACACAGTCTGAGTGGGGGTTAAATGTGTGAGGGAGGGAGTGATTATCGCCTGGTTTCGGGGGTGCCTGTGCCAAGATTTCACCTGAACAGCTGCACCTGTAAACAGACACTTGAGGGTCACGTCAGTTGCTATACTCTGTCTCTTCGTATCTCCTGTCATTCTGTCTGTCTCCGTTGCCTTTTCCTGCTCCTCTTAATGTCTACTTTTCAACCTGCCTGCCCACTTACCTGTCACTCACTTTTAATTGTCGAGCTCAATATCTGTTTGTCTTCATGTCGAGCCCTTCCTTGACATGAGACACTGTCTACCCCTGTTATGGCTGTGGCAGCTGTTTTCTGGGGCACCCAGAGCCGGAGTCATTTTATCCAGAATGTGTAATGTGCGCTGTGTACAGCCTATTAGGGCTATTTATTGCCCCGTGGAAGCCAAGCCAGGTGAGAGCTGGCAGTGTGAGTTATCATTAGTTTGAAACAGTCACTCAGACTGACATCAGCTCCTTTGCGTTACGTGCAGCCTGTCACAGCAGTACTACACACGCAAACACACACACACTCTGGTATGCACAGAGAAACACACACTCAAAACTGGCTGCTCATATACTGTAACCTAGAGGAAAGAGGGGAAATAATCTTACCATTGTCTTAAGACATTCTTTCCCCTGAAATAGTAATACATTTTTAATAAAATATTTTTTCACAGGTGCTTACCTCCCACGGGGAACATCGATATCATCTTTCCTCCAGCGCACATTGGGTTGGGGGTCTCCTTGTACCTGGCAGCGAAACTCCACTGTCTCCTCTTCCAGGACCACCTGGTTGATGGGCCTCCGGAGGAAAGTTGGTCGCTCTGCAGGACAGAAAAAGATCATTTCATTATGTCAGTTTGTGACTCTTACTAAAGAATAATTCCCTCTCTAATAACTCAATAATAATAATATTTAATAACCGTATTCTGTTTGTTAGTACTCTGCGATCACTTTTTTTCATTATATTTCATTCTCACTCTTTATAACTTCTTGACAACTTCATGGCTAAATATCAGTTATGATGCACAGTGCATGTATACAACTCTGTAAAAACACTTGACCTGAAAGTATTCCCATTTTTGAGCTTGACGTACATTACAGACATATTCCCATTACACAGTAACTGAGAATATGCAGTAACGTGTACGGAAGTCGCTCCGTTACATCACTGAAGAGAAACAATTTCAGGAGAACTGGAGAAATAAAGCGTACCAAACACTGTGACTTGTGCTGTCTCGCTGTCCCTTTCTCCGACCATGTTGGTGCCCACACAGATGTACATGCCAGCGTCACTCTTTCTTGTGTTGGAGATCATTAGTTTCCCTCCTCGAATCTAAAGAAAAAAACAAAAAAACATTTTCCGTTAAATACACAGTCGATGTTGACAAATGTACTTCCTATTCAGTCCGGTTATTAAACCAGACCGTCATGATACTCACGGTGATCCTGTCATCCTTGTCATCAATTCGCACTTTGTCCTTCTTCCAGTAGATGGTGGGTTCAGGATGGCCTCTGGGAGGAACACACTCAAGGATCGCCGGCTCTCCTGCTGCCACCACCACATCTGTAGGGTTTTGTCTGAAGTCGTCTCGCAGCACTGAGGGGAAAAAAGGAGGAAATGGTTCAGGAAGATTGCATTTTCTTCTTTTTTTTTTTCTTTTTTTTTAAATGTAAATGCTTTTATGGTGAAGTTTACGATTTTTCTTTGTATGTATTACATTGCGTGTACAACACAGCGTGAATGCATGCAGCATTCATTGTGGCTATTTAAATGGGATGTGCAGCTTCATCTGACTAGGCAAGCACAAGTGAAAGCTAATTGGAGCTAATGGAGGTCCCTGTGGAGGTAGCAGAACAAACAGAGACAGAACGCCCTGAAGCCTTGTGTCATTCACATGTGAGAGCTCACAGGGGTGCAACACTGCTTCACTTTGCTGGCATGTACACACACTCAGACTTACACACAACCAGATATGCGCTAACACACAGAAAACCAGTGGGTGGTCTGATGAACAACTGCGGCCTTGTATCTAATCACCCTCAGGTAGGCCTTTCATCACAGAGATAGCCCCTCAGCCTGCCTAGTGCTCAGTGACACACACACAACCAGCTCATTATCAAACAACCAAAAATGATGTCACACACCCACACACACACACACACACACACACACACACACACACACACACACACACACACACACACACACACACACACACGCGCATGCGTGCAATGTAAGTGTACATACACAAACATACTAAACTAACTGACAAATGAAATACTCTCTTAATGGTGTATTCAGAGCAGGATGCAACGTCCATACTAATGAGTGAACATACAAAATTTCTAATGCAATTAAAAAAACGGTTTAAAGGTACAAACTGGGGGTCACTCCGGTTTTCCCTGCTGTGTGTACTCAAACAGATCTTTCACCATTTGATCTACAATAAATCTAATCCGTGGAGTAGCACTTTAGGAATTTCAGCTTCAGCAGCGTGTCCATCTGTGCAGAAACGAGGGACACGTGATTCCTCTGATGGATAAAAGGACTGAGCCTGTTGGATGATGTTTGAAGATGCTTGAGGAGGGCTAAATTAAGGGCAGCACCACAGGTCTTTATGTAAATTCCACGTGGCACAGGGGACAATGGGAGGGATGGCCGGGATTATAAGAGGGGATAACTCGTCCCTGCGCTCCAGGCTTCTCTCATCTCTTCATTCACTCTTCTTACCCTCTCTACAGAAAGCTGAGCAGCCATTGTCTTCTTATTTATTTATTTAGACCAAGGGGAAGCAGGGCGGAGGAATGGAGGAAGCTTTCAACCCAATTATCCTGGGAATGCGCAGGGGTACAGAGTGGGACTTCGGTGTGACATGAATTCAAATGAAACCTTTACACAGGGGTGATAGGAGCGAATATACAAGAGGTAGAAGTAGAGGTTTTCTCTTTCTCATGCAGGGCTGCCCTTTAATCTAAAGAGCTAAGGTAATTAGCCAGCTCCAGAGTGGCAGACCCCCTGGTCAGAGTGGGCATAACAGCCACCACCACTGGGTTCTGTGTATTTGCATTACAAACAGAAGTCCCGCTGCTTAAAATCATAGCCTGGTTCGGACCATACACTGCCTGTTGTTTTCAAGATCACATTGGATTTAATTGCTCCTTTCCATTCATTGCTGATAGCACCCATGGGATTTTGTCAGAATCAATTTTCTCTGAAACAGAACAGTGACAAAAGAAATACTGGTTAGGTGCATCATTACCGTGCTCGTGCCATGCTGTCTAATCTAATCTAATACTACACAGTACGTCACAGTAAATGCATCCCTACACTGCAATCTAAATAAATACCCGAAAAGTAGAACACAAAACAAAGCAAAAAAAAGAATACAACAAACCCCCCCCCAAAAAAAAAAAAACAGAGAAGCGGCACGTGCTGCAGCATATAAAATACAACATACACACACTTGTTGAGGACAGGACAAACACTGGGTTACAAACGGCTACAAGCAAACAAACAGATGATACAACACTGGTCAAAGGATTATGCCCTGTGTGTTGGTTCAGGGCTTGCTAATACTAAGACTCTGAGCAGATACATTTACTAAGTAAATGAGGGGAGGGCCAAATCCAAATAGACTTTAGTACACTATCTAATCCTAACTACAAGGCCACTGGCATCAAGGTCAACCTCCTACGGTTAAAGCACACACTCAACTCAAATATTCATCCCCTCAGTGTAAAGTTTGCCTTGCTCCATTACAGTATGAGTTTGTATCTCTTCTGTGGTTGCCTGCAGGCACCTCCATGGGCTACAATACACTATGTCAGCTATCATTAGGCAAGCGAGTGCTTTTATATTAGAAATCATAACATGACCGTTTTCTCTGTTAATCTGTGTGAGGTGCATTTGATACAAGTGTATCATTAAGTGGGTCTGTGTATTTGCTGAAACTGAACTCTCCACCTCTGAGGCCCTGTAGGCGTTCAGGCCCGAATCAGTCGACAGACGTGAGGTAATTGCCTTTCTATCCCCCTGAAACACTCAACTCATCTTCCACTGAAAACATCTCACCTCCCGCGGAGTTCCAGCAGGCCCCAAACTCTGCCGTCTTGCTCACTTGCTTATTAATATTTATATATTTTTACATTTACACCTCTCTGTTGGCAAGTGCTACATCTGTCAATCCGGCTGCAGGCTAAAAAGAACCCATATCTGAAAAATACTAATCTGCCTTTGCCTCTCGTATTTTATTTTATTTTATTTTATTTATTTATTTATTTCCCCCAAATATCAGAGGAGTGGGCTGATTTGAATGAAGGAGCAGCAGGCAGGGGGCAAAGCATGGCAAATTTGCAGCTACTTCAGCTGGCACTGTTTCAACACCTTGGAACTTAGAGGGGAGGGATTCAGGTTGCAACTCGCACTGTGAAACAGCCAAGGGGTTGAGATTGGAAGTCTTTGCCAAAATAAAAACACAAAAGAGACACCCACACAGTTACTTTGTAAACCAGATTGTCCTACATTGACAGAGGGGGGGGGGGCTGTGCCAGCAAACATTATGGAGGTCTACATGTGTGTGTTTTAACCTGAGAAAGACAAAAAGAAAAAAAAAGAAAAGGAAAAAAAAAAACAAAAAAAAAAAACAGCCGGACGCAGATACATGACAACACAAATAGCCGGCATCATAGCAACAGAGGTGGCAGGGCAAGGACAGTATGAGAGGAGATATTTTGTACAGTGCGCCCTCTTCTCCCACCCGAGATATTACTCACTGGAGGATGACACTGCTTGTCTGTAAGATTAGTGGGGAGCCTTGACTGAAGCGTCCAGCCAGCATACTGAGATAAGTGCTGACAAACACATTCACCTACAGGAGCGTACCTAGCTTTGGTTCACAAAGGTTGCATTCGCTGCCACAACACCACAGACTGATGTCTAAAATCTAATTTTTTCCTCCGCTCTGACATTCACATCACTTTGATGGACATTCGGCACACGCACAAGAACCTACACACAAACCTGACAAACTGTGAGGCATTCGCCAAAGCTGCAGGGCTTGGTATCTTTTTGTAATACTGAAAATGTGGATGTTTGTGTATGTTTGTGGTTGTTATTATTTCTCCCTCTCTATTTACTGCAGAGAAAGGCCCCTCCGTGCTTTCACAGATGCTCTCCTGAGTCAGAGACTAAGAAACACAGAGAGAGATTACAACAGCTAGAAGCCCGGGGCCATAGCCCGGCACCCAGAACCAACACCTTCTACCCACACTCTGATTAGAAAATAAACCATACACACACACGCGCGCGCCCGCACACACACAACACACACATATAAACAGGGAGAGTTGTAGAGAGGTAGCTCCAAGCTATAATATCATTTCATTCGAGTGCTTTTTGCGCTTCATCCGGCAGAGTGCTATTACAATACCGCCATTTTCAATTCCACCCTTAGAGAAGAGAGACAATATATATGTCACTTGACAAAACATACCAAACCTACTCTATGTGCTGTCATTGGCGTTTTGTATTACTGTTGATGCTGAGGGCAGAAGAAGGATAATGCCTCACTATATAATATTACACTGTGAAAGGAGACGTGCCCCATTTGTCTGGATGCAAGCTTTTTCCCCGGCTCTGACTCGCTCATTTGCCCTCCCACCGGCCAGAGCTAACCTTTGCCCCCCCATCCAGATGCAGAAATTACCCCCTCAGCAGGCAGGCAAGCAGCAGGTTCACACATATCCCCTATATTCCTCCACTGAGGGGTTGCAGGTCAGACCAGAGAAACAGCTGCAAAAATATGGCCGTCTGGCGGTGCCTAAGGCTGTACCCCCTCTGAGAACCGAGTAGAGACTCTCATCATTAGCACAACTCATCACCATCTCTCTCTGTCTGGCTCATTCTCTCCCACCACCATCAGGGGTCATTCGCTGTCTTTCTTTTTCTTCCATCTCCTAAATTTCATCTTTTTTTTTTTTTTTCTTTTTCTTTTTCAATCCCATAGCATTGTCCCATGCGTTGCATCTTGCTCCCTCCACTTTCTTTCACGGGCTTGTCAGAGCTCTCTCTTTGCTGACTGCAGATGAGCTTGTGCAGATGAAGCCATATACATGCGCACCCGATCATTCTCCGTAGACCATGGCCGAGCCTGATATGATCTCCTGCACCACTCCCCCTATCTGCAAATCCATGGGCTCGGGGATTGTAAATAACACTGTCACTTTCACAGATAAGATGCAGGAAATATGGAAAAGAGTGAAGGTAAAGAGAATCATATGGCCGGCAGTGATATCATAGTGGGGAGAAATCACAGGTGGTGATATCATATGAAATGTGCATCTTTAATAGAGCCTTGGAGGGAATGAAAGAGACAGAGCATGTGCGCTCTTGTGAGAATGCTGAGAGAAAAGAGGCAAGACATAACCCAACACAACAGGGAATGATGAGAGGATGCCTGATCAAGGTCAAACAGAAGAGGTGGCGACGAGTACAAAGGTGCTGAATAGATGGGGCTGACTATAAATGAATGGAGTGCATTCCATCAAACTCATGCCGCATACTGTGCCTCTACCTCTCATTCAGTAGATAAGCCTAAA